GCTAAATTTATACCTCTCTTTAAAGGCCCTTTTAAAATTCTTAAAGTAAATAACTATTAAATAATATTCAAATTTCTAATTAATATAAAGTATAACCCAATATTCTATATTAATAAAATTAAATTATAAAATAAAGAGGGTCTCTTAGAATAAATAAATTCGGAGGAATAAAATATTCGTATTAACTATAATTAAATTATAAAAAAGATTAATAATAAGGAGGACTCTATTAAATATAAATTTGAGAGGATAGACGGATATTAAAAGAATAATAAGGGCCGTTAGGAATATTTTATAATTTAGGTATTCCTATATATACTATTATAGTAACTGTACGCTAATATATTTATAGCCCCTAATATAGTATAGGCCTTTTATAATAAATACCCGGAAGCGCTATACCCACCGGCCTAGGCGGCGGCGGAAAAAAAGCGGAAGGAGAAAAAGAAGGAGGTAGAGCGGGAGGTTTTAGCTCCGCGGCGGAAATTACAACGATAACTATTAGTAGTAATAAGGATTTTTTTAAGAGCGGACTGCTCGTTTAATAGGGATTTCTATTATTTTATATAATATTAATCAATTATATAGCTTCTTTTAATCTAAGGAAGTATTATAGGGTTAGCCTGTGTGCCTTGTGCCTGGTGCCAGCGTATAGCAGTTTCTAAGACTGCCGTACGCTGTTATTACCGCCGGTAAGCCGACTATTGCCGGCAGTTAATTGGTTAGAACGCTGCCCGCCGCGGGTCTGTTAGACCCGCCGGCGGTTGCCTTTATAAGGCCAGCCTTTTGGGCACTCGGCTACACTTCTCTTCCTTTCTCCTTCGTATAATTACGTATAATCACATCTACCACCTACCCTTTGCCCGTGATAATAGGTCTGCTATTTTTTACAATTCCTAATTGTAATAATAATAAGTAAACCGATTAGTTTAGGAACTATCCAAGTGTAGAAGCGGACAATACCGGTACTGGGATGGCCGGAGGAAATATATAATAATAATACTATATATTTTTTATTAGGGGTAATAAGGAGGTTGTTTAGGGATTATAGTATAAGGGTAATATATAGACTTATATATAGCCCTTGGTCTTATAATTTAATTGAATTTTATATGAAATTATTAAAAGTAGAGATACGTAAATGGGCGAGAGAATAGAATTATCTAGATTTAGAGGATTGGCTATTAGTATTAGAAGAATTAGTAATTAATTTTAATAGTTGGGTAAGGGTAGGAAGTAAATATAATATATTATAATTATTATTAGATTAGTAAATAGAATAGCGATTAATAGTAATTAATTAAGTAGTAGCAGGATTAATAGTAATAAATGTAGGGAGAATCTTAGATTTTATAAGTAATAGTAAAGATGTGAGTAAGGAAGATATAGAGGATTAGCGAATAGAAGAGGGAGAGACAATACGGAAAGATTAGAACGAAAAACGAATTAGGGAGATAGGAAATATATTATTTAATAACCTATATACTATAAGGGATCTAGTATAGGAATTAATTATAGGGACGAAAAATATAAAATTAGGATATATACGAACGAAAGGATAGGCTAAGAGGGTGGATAATAATACGAGGGCGCTAGTATTTATATTAAAGTAGATAGGGCCTTAGGAGGTAATAGAGGTAGTATTGCTAGTATTATTAAAAATAATTAATTTAAATATAAGGAAGAAAGTTAGGAAAGTATATATAAATAATATTAAATTGTAATTAGCTAACGAAATACGAAAGGTAGATTTAATAAAAGAAATAGATTTTTAGAAGAGTATAAAGTTAGAAAGGGAGGTTAAATAAATAAAGGAATTAGTAATAATAATATTAGAAGGAATTAATTTAATAGAGGGATTAGTAATTATTAAGAATAGGGAGGAGGAGAGAGAGAATAAACGGGTACGATTGTAAAATAAAATAAAGAAGGGAATATAAATATATTAATATAATATATAATAGGAGGAAAATAAGAAAAAGAGGAGTAAGGGAATGGAATAAAAGGAATTAAAAGTATTTATTAAAGGATTTAGAAGCTATTACATTACTAGAATTATTATTAGAATTATTATTAGAATTATTATTAAAATTATTATATTAATAATACTAATAACAGACTATAAGGAGTATTAAAGCGCAAATATTATAGGGCTTATAACCGATATTGATTTTTTTATACTCTCTTACTATTATTTATCATAATTAATATAATTATTAATACTAAAAGTACGACCGGATTATTAAAAAAAGAGGGAGATATTATAAATATCGTTACTATATTAAAATAACTTTATTATTATTATTATACCGCTATTTCCTAGACTTTAATATTGTACGATCTATCTATATATATACTACCGATAGGATGGACGAGATTGATATATAAGAATACCCTTTCTAAGAATACCCTAATGGTTATAATAATAATTTAATACTTAATAACTTAGGTAGGCCTATTGTATACGCCGGCAATCTATATATCAAATAAACTACTATACCGGTATAGGGTAAGCTAGCATTAATTATTATTCTTGGAAAAAGAGAATTATATATTTATCGCCGACTATAGGTATTAATAATACCCGAACGAAAATACTTAAAACTAAAACTAATTTGCGAATTGTAGAGGCTTATTATATTTTATTTTAATAAAAGGATCCTATATATTGTACGTATTGTTTTAGAATATTATATTAGGGAGCTAGATTTCTTTATACCTCCCTCCGGCCAATTTATATATCGAAATAATATTATTAAATACTATAGACTAGGGTTTTACTTTATAATAGTTATAGTTAATTATTTATATTTTTTTTGTATAATAAACTTATATTAGACTTTAAAAAACCTTGGGGTAAATTGGATATAATTTACTATAGTAAAATAGAATAATAATTATATTAGAATTTATACAGTCGGTACTAATATTAAATAGGAATTGGTAGAAATTTTGGTGAATATTATAATAAAAAAGAAATTAATTGTAACCCTCCTATTAAGGGCTAAGCTTATATATATAGTAAAGTAGGATAGAAGTATAATAGTTCGTTAAGATTTATTAGGGATAATAGAGTTTGTAGCTATAATTAACGAATACTATAATTACCCGGATTAAATCCAATTGAATAAATAAGGTAATATAGTTTATTAAGGACCTATCTATGTAAAATTAATTAAAATAATTAAAATAGTAATTAGATAATTATTATATAAAATAGATATATATAGAGCTTTATTTACTAATGAATTTAAAATCCTTTTAATAAGTAGTAATATAGACCGCTTAGTATATATTCTTAGTAAGTTTTAACATACAACCGAGGTTAAAATTGAAATTAATAGTAATAGCGAAAGTAACGGCGAAATACGTATTTATTTACAAAATACAATAACTACCCTAGCTATAGCGAATTGTAATATATATAATAGTAATGTATAAGGCCCCTGTAGTATCTTTAAATAGGTGTACGTTATTATTATTAATAATTTGAAATTATTAAATATAGTAGTTAGAATAATAGGGATAATTACGTAGTAGATACTTAGAATAGTCGCTGGTTTATTTAGTACTATAGTCGGAATTTTATTTATTAGGGAATTAATTATTAAATTGGTATAATCCTAGTGTACTATTAAAGGCTATTAGTTATATATGGTAATAATATAGTTAAATTAGGTTATCGGACTATTAATTATATAGGTCGAGTAGTTTAATATTATTAAAAATTAGGGTATTTTCAATATACAACCTACCGCAGCCCAACGCTTACAACCGGCCCCGTCTAAATATAGCCGGTAGTTCTTTTATTAATACTATTAATTGGAATTAGTATAAGATTGTAGTAAGAAGGTATTAAAGATGGAGGTATATTAATTTGAGAGATAATTAAGATTGTATATTATTGAAGGATTATTAAGTTTATTTTCGTTAGTTTAGTTAGGTATTTAATTAGTTTCAGGTATACGGTAGTACCCTTGGGGAAAAGGGGGAGCATTATAAAAGGTGCGCATCGGCGTACAGACCACCAGCTACAGTATTTAGTTAGGCATCACGGTTGCAAACTGTGAGTGAGCTCGTTAGACCAATCACAACCTTTATTTATAACCCAAAAGAACCGTGAGACGCGGTGCCTAACGCATTGCAATGCATTGGCCTAAGCGGCTTGGACGGATCAGGCGAGTTCGACGCTCGTCATGTCGGGCCTTGACAGCACTCGGGCTGCACAATTAAGCGTCCTAGAACTCCAAAGAGAGACCGAAACCGTTGTGGTTTAGCCCAAGTTAGTTGCGGTGATTTGAGCTGGCTTTGCAACACCCACTCTCTTCGCGTAGCCAGTCCAGATCTCCATCACCAGAAATCAACAGTTTATTACGATGCCCTTCAGTGTCTTCACTCCCAAGCTTCATTCCTGTCATAATTCTGTATGCCATTGGTATCATATTGAACACTTGAACTTTTGTACACGACAACTTTTGTCTCATGTGTCTTACCACCAGATTCCCCGGAGTGCCATAGACCAACGCCCCCAAAAGTAATGGAAAGTGCCCAGGGGCAAGATCATATACCCGATGAGGAGGCGGATCAGGAAACGGGATTTGTGGCCAAGTCCGACATTTCTTGATTTCAAGACTGACATCGATGTCAAGGTACAGGTCAACAGGTATTTTTGCTGCGCTCTGCACTGCCCAGCATGACACGCCGCGGATGAAGTTCTCTGTGACTTTTGCCAAGACGAGCAACGAATCAATTTGAGTCGAATTGCGCCTTCTCATCTGTCAACCACGCTTGAAATGTGCTCTGCTATACCGAGTTTCACAGGAAAGAGCTGCATTTGCTCCTTCCTATCTACCGCGAGGTACATCGCTACTTACCTGCAAGTATCAATCGTTGCACAAGGTTTGCCGGCCGGAGACAGGCGAAGGGTGCAGTGGTTCCACGGCATCACATGGACTGCCGGCACTAGGAAAGGAGGGGTTCTCTCCCTCGCTCCCTTCAGCGATCAAGACCGAATTCCTTCATGCAGCTGACTTGAACTCTGACAATCCACATTGTGAACATCGCGAACTTCCTTTCTGATAACTCACCAACAACACAGTTACAACTCACCACGAAAGGCAGATACAGCAATCTCCATAGCCGCCATGTCTTCCTCCTCCAGCCTAATCCCCACCGAGGCCATCGTTGGCACCACCGTTGCCATGTCCTTCATCCTCCTCGGTACGTTTCGTTCCGTTCTGCCATCATGCCCCTCCCTCCCTCCCTTCCTCCCTTCCAAAACATAGCCACCAACTAACTTCCTTCTCCCCACCAGGCAACGCAATCACCCAATCCTTCATGGGCGTCCCCGCCCTCCTCATCAACTTTCCTCACCCCTCCTCCCCTTCCCACCCCCAAGCCGCCAAACACCTCGGCCAACAATGGCCTGTCTTCTGGCGTGTCGGCAACGTTTTTTTCCGCCCCATCTCCACCTTTGGCATCATCGGCTACGGCTACGCCGCCTGGGCCAGCTATTCTCGCTCTTTCTCCTCCTCCTCTTCCTCCACCACTGTCACCTCGGGTAGCAACAACAACAACGCATGGAAGTTTTATGCCATTAGTGCCTTGTGCCATTTGATCACGGTCGTGCATAGTGCGGTCAATATGCAGCCGATCAATGCCAAGATTGAAGGGTTGAATAGAAGAGAGGGGGACAAGAACAAGACGGATGCGTCGCTGGCGGAGTACTATGCTAGGAAGTGGGCGAAATTGAATCTGGTGAGGCTGGTGATGCCGGCGGTGGCGGGGAGTGTGGCGTTGTGGACTACGTTGAGGGCCGGTGCCGGTGCCGGGGGGAGGATTTAAGGTTATTGAGCGAGGGAAGGGGAGAAGAGGATCACTGGAGATGACAACATGCTATGATTTTTATTTGGGGAGAGGCTGGGTTGCGACGAGGATTGTTTGTCATGAGGACGACGAGACAGGTTTGTTTCACAATGTATTGAGACGATAAGGAAAACAGCAGAGTGTAATGTGTATGGTGTAGACACATGGGCAACAAACGGTCATTAATGGGGATAATTAGGAGTGTTCAAGTACAATACGAGCTGTGCCTCATGATTAAATCAGAAATACGGTTTGGCGAAGACAAGGTTCAGACCAGTGACTTGGCCGTAGAAGTTTATTGCAGTGGCATCCTGATGACCCTTATCTTCCCAGGATCGCCAAGTAACAGAGTTCTTTCTCTCTTACATTTTGCACAAGGACGAACTAATCATGTCTGAAGGTGTTCCATTTGACTATTTGATTCTGCAAGTCTACTGGTACCATGTACTGCCGAACTACCGAGGACCAACATGGCCACCAGACGGGCGTCTTTGCCCGGGTAATTCTTAGTGAGTAAATCTACTGATGACGAAGGAAAATAATGCTTGTAAGGAGCTTAACAGACATAGAAAACCTCTCGCCTTTGAGTCGTCAAATACCAGGCTGGTGTATCTCCGTCAATAACATACTACTTGTCTTCTTGTCCGTTGTCTTTCCTTTCCCTTTTTTTTTTTTTTTTTTTTTTCCTTTTTTTCTTCTTCTCTTGTCTTGCCGTACCTGAGGAATCACCCCACCCTCCCTCCCCCTCTCCCACCTCCAAACCAAAATTTCCCCAGCGCAACCCCCGCCACAAAAGTCGCTGCTCCCGAAACCCACTCCCTCTTGACAGCCACCTGCCCAGTCCGGCCGTCCAACTGCACAGGAAGTAGCCGTGAAGGAAAAAATTGGTTGATAACCTCGATTGTGTCAACAATGGTGCCGCTCCAACCTTTGTTCTCTCCACTTCCATGTTCATGGTCAACTAGATCACCTGACGACCACCACAATCCCGAACTAGAGACATGAACATGCCCAGAACCAGAACCAGAACCAGAACCAGAATTAAAAGCTTCGGGTCCCTTGGCTGGGCTTGTGCTTTTGGTAGTAGCGAATCGCAATTTCTTCCATTTCGGTGTACAATCTGCTTCTTCCGCATCTGCATCACTGGTAGATGGAGGACCTGAAGTCTCAGCCGACCGATCAACCAGACACCTTAGCGGCGAGTTTTGGTTGGAAGAAGGGTACTCGGTCGTAGTACTGAATGTGTCGGACGTGTCTAGACTGTTTAGACCGTTCATGGGCATGGGATATTGAACTGGCCTGTCCATCCCCAATTGATGTCCATGTCTGAGTGTATGCAAGGTCTCACAACCCATTACTTTACTTGGCGAACCCCCCCGATTTCCCCCCTCCGAGGAGTCCAGACTCTGTACCGGCGACGGGGGAAGTTCAGTGACAGTCACTGATGAGTGCCGCATGTGAGGCATGTGATGATGGTGATGGTGATGAACTCCGGACCCGCGACATCCACCTCCTCCGTCTTTGAGTTTGAGGGTGTCGAGGTCGAGGTATGTGGCGGGTTTGTAAGTGGGTGGGGGAGGTGCTGAAGCCTCGTCGAAGCCTTTGGGCGCATGTTTCTTCTTCATCTCGACTGCTTTGGCGGAGTCGACGAATTCTTGGATTTTGGAGATTTGCGAGCCGCAGGGGGTGAAGGAGATGATGAGGAGGCATTCGTTGTTCCAGTGGATTGTCTCTTTATCTGTGGATTTGTCTTGTTGAGATTGAAATGACGGCTCTTCTAGGATTGGTGGTGTTGGTGATGGGGGTGAAGGGTGTGCATCTTCTAATGATGTTGGGGGTGAAGACAACGTTGGTTCTTGTTCTTCTTCGTGGCAAGAAAATGTCGATGGGTTGGAGAGACTGAGAGAGGAAAGAGGAGGGATTTCTGAACCGGGTTCGGTGACTTCGGTGATGGGACTCAGGAGTGTCTCTGGAATTTCGGGTGACTCTGCTAGGTCTCCCAAGATATTACTTAGGTGTCCATCAGGGTTGTACACGTCTTCCATATCCACTTGGGGAGTGACCTCTTCTTTGGCCTCCATCCCGACTTTCCCACCCTCTTCAGCCTTGCCCTCCCCCTTCTCGCCTTCAGGCTTCTCCTGGGTCTTCAAGATCCCTTCCATTGCGCACCTCAATATCACCCCCCCTCTGTCCGGATCCTCCCACAGCTCTGTAGGCTTCATCTCAAGGCTCTGGAATGCTGAGAAAACCATGGCGGCATGGTGCGCAAAGTCCTCCTTGCCCCTCACTGGCATGCCCAAGGATTGGGGAAGAACCTCGTGAGTGAAATTCGGACTGAGGGGTTGAAGGAGAGTAGGTGCAGAGAGGGAGCTGTAGCCTTTGAGCAGGCGACGAAGGGTCTTGAGGCGTGTATCGGCGACGGACTGGGGATGGGGTAAGCCGGAATAGACATGGTGTTGGATGGAGTGTTCCAGAGTGGGATCAGAAGATGGTGGAGTGGAGGGCGATGCCATCTTGGCGGTTGGTGAGGATGAATGCTTGAGTGTTCCGACAAATGTCTGTCAAGATCGGTGATACTTCGCTATTGTGATAAATGGCGATAGTTGATGGGTGATGATTGCCTCCTTGATAAGGGCTGGATAACTTGGGTCAATAAGAGGGTATGTGGTTGTTGGTGTCGGGTTGACGATGTTCAAGATTTGCCGTTTATGTTAGCGCAAACAACGTACAGACTAGGCGGCGACGACGTGGCTTAGTTCAAGCGAAAGCCTGAAATGAGGTCCATGTGAACACTGCAAAAGCTGTCAAGTGGCTGTCAGGGTGAGTGCGAGACAGGCTCAGCAAGCTTTGGCTCTGGGCGAAGAAGAAGCATAGTAGTAATTTCGTGGAGGGCGGTGATCAACCGGACCCGAGATGCTGCTCACTGCCTTCTTTTCTTCCTTGACAGATGCAAGGAGGTACCACATGACGGGTGAAGGGTTCTCCAATCTGAACTCATCTGGGCTCGTGCATCGCTAAACCTAGTCCTGGGGGGGGGGGGGGGGGGGGGGGAAGAGGCTCGTGCAGTCCAAGACCTCGTATATGCCCCTGCCCCCATGTTGGTGCATGCTCTGCGCCCATCCTCATGCCCAGTACGTGCGGTATAATACCAGAAAACCACACTCAGGCATGTAAATGATGTGTTGCAGGCATTTGAAGAAGGGTTGAAGCCCGAAAAATGGCGCTAGGGAAGGTGAGAATGCAGGTCACGCAATGTAATGCCGGTGTCGTTTCCTTGATGGGAGTTGGCAGTTGGCAGTTGCGAGATTCCAAAATGGTCCAAGTTCAACGTCGTCTCCCTGGATGTGTCTGTGTAGGTGCAGTCCCGGATGCTGCGGTGGCCACTGCCACTCCGTTGGAATCTTCATGTCAGCGTGACAATGCAGTGTCGTCGGTCATGGGAACTAACACTGCCCTCACAACTTTGTGTTCCATTTGGTTACCTGATCCAAGAAACTCTGACTTGAGAAATTTGCAGTGGCTAACAGGAAACTCAAGGAGATTCTCGCATTTGCACTCACTCGAGTCCTCTTCCTCGTTTTCAACTCTGACATTTGTCATCGAACACAACCTGTCAATCTAGCATCGGCACACTTGACACGCCCCCCACAATGACCAAGAAAACCATCCTCGTCACCGGTGCCACCGGCCAACAAGGCGGTGCCGTCATTGACGCCCTCATGGACCTCGACAAGTCCGGCGAGAAGTTCTCCATCCTCGCCGTCACCCGCAAAGCCGACAGCCCTGCCGCCCTTGACCTCGTCAAGCGCTACCCGCGCGTCAAGCTGGTTGAAGGCAACCTCGAGAATGTGCCGGCCCTCTTCGAGTCGGCCAAGATCATCGCAGGCGATCAGCAACTCCCCATCTGGGGCGTCTTTTCGGTTCAAGTCTCCATGGGTCCCGGCGTGACCTTTGACGGTGAGGTCAAGCAAGGCAAGGCCCTCATTGACGGAGCCATTGCCAACGGTGTTCAGCACTTTGTGTACAGCTCTGTTGAACGCGGCGGCGATGCCAGAAGCTGGGAGAACTCGACGCCTATCCCGCACTTCCAGACCAAGAAGATCATTGAGGATTATCTGAATGTGACGTGCGGCAAGCAGCCTGGATCCAGGATGGGCTGGACTATTCTGAGGCCCGTGGCGTTCATGGACAACCTCAAGCCCGGCATGCCGACGAGCCTCTTCTTGACTGGGCTGAAGAACCACTTGGGAGAGAACAGGAAGTCTCTGCAGTGGATTGCGGTGCACGATATCGGAGTCTTTGCAGCCAAGGTGTTTGACGCCCCGGAGGACTGGAATCACACGGCGGTCGGGCTGGCGGGGGATGAGTTGACGATTGAGCAGCTCAGCAGGGCCTTCTCCAAGGCGACTGGGTATCCGATGCCGCTGACGTACTCGTTTGCCGGAAGTCTGTTGACCTTTGTTGCCAGGGAGCTTGGCTTGATGATTGGCTGGTTCGCGAGCGAGGGCTACAAGGCTGACATTGAGGCGAGGAGGAGGGACCACCCGGGCATGTTGACGATGGAGCAGTGGTTGCTGACGAAGAGTCACTTTAGCACGGGGGTTGACGGCGCGCAGATTGGAGCTTGAGGCATCGTGGCTTGATGTGTATGTGGCAAAGGGAGAGATGCCCGGTGGGAGAAGCGATCAGATGAGAGTAAAAAAAGCGAAAGGGAAGACAGAGGGGTTGGGGACGAGGAGGGGCACCAGAATAAACACTCCACTTTTTTGTGTTGTTGCCAATCTTTATCGTTATTGCTCCAGGTTATAATAGCCAATTGACTTTTTGTTTTTCTAACTCTACCTCGTCGTAGCTGATTCCCTCTACTTGTAGGCTTCAACAATGTCACCGTCGTCTGAATTGTCTCTTTCCTCGGTTGTCCCCAGGCTGTCCCCTGCCAAGAACACCGTTTTTCCAGGTACAGCCAATAAGAGGGGGTGTTATTGACCAATACGGAAGGTGGGGCACCTGCGACACGAACACAACCCCTAACAGCACCCCCTGAGCCCCTACACTTGTAGGGCTTCAAGACGCCCAGCCAAACCACCACAAGGGGCCTCGCGATCTGGCGATGCTACCATGTCTAACGCCTCCTGTTGCAACATCACCCCTCTAAGATGTCGCTTCGGTTGGGGGTTAGCCGCCTGTCACCGCCCTGTCACCGTTCCGTCAAGTTACCCTCGGCTCCCGCTTGGGCTCAAGCGCTGTACCTGTCATTCGGGAACTGACTGTTTCCGGCGTCAAGGAGGCGGATGGGTTACTAACCTTCACTCGGCACCACCCCAGGCTGTCAATCTGGGGATCTTGATCACTCCTGCAGGTATGTACCACGGACAGGGGCCTCGGTACCGTTTCCAAAAGTCTTCCCTAACCTAGGTAACCGAACCCAAGCCATTACTCCGACTGACAGGAGGTAATAGGGTGACATCATGTCCTTGGTCCTTTTGTCGCCTCCTCGGGGACGTTGGGAATCTGGTATAAAGTCAACCTTTTTTCGCGTCCTGTCCATTACTCACGTCCCTCATCAACACACTCACTCATTCACTCATCAAACTTCATTTCAACTAACCGCCGGCCGGTCCTTTCATTCTACATCCCACTTCTCGTCAACAACCAGCCAGGTTGTCCCAATACCCATTACTACCTCTACCACCACCAACCATCGACCAGTCAAATCTTCCAAACCGCCAAAATGAAATTCACCATCCTCACCTCCCTCTTCTTCACGGCTCTCTCCGTCAACGCCGCCGTCATCGAGTCCGACACCTCGGTTCTCCGCCGCGACATCTTTGCCCGCCAGAACGCCGGCCGCCCCGTCCCCAACGGCGGCTGCTGCGTCGCCAACACCAGCTTGAAGCAGGATGTTTGCAAGGTCAATGGCCAGTCGGGCAGATGTGTGCCTGCAGGTGTTAACAACTGTGAGTACTTTCTTGGTAGTGACTGTGACGGTTGGGAGATGATGGAAAGAGAAGAATGGAATGCTAATCAAGACATCATAATGAATAGGCGGCGAGCGATTGACGTGCATTGAGGACTCGAGGTTGACCTGCAACGCCAAGGTGTTGGAGAGGGGAAGGCCTCTGTGCAGACTTCGCCAGGGTGCGTAAGGGGTTGAACTTCGAGGATAATTGATGGGTATGATTCATTCCTGGAAGGACTGGCAGTGGGAAAAGAATTGAGTTGGGATAGCTATCATCACTGAGTCGCTCACATGGACTCGTGAAAACAAAAAAGAAGTGGGATTTTTTTTAACCTCAATTTGGTTTTCTTACTGTGGTGTATAACGCTTCCCAGGACCATCACTAGGACGGGCATCATCTCCCTCGTAGATCCAAACTCCCCCCCACACTTACTCGCCGAAGACAAGCCGGTCTTTTTGAACGAACCCTACGTTCAACACACCTTTGTAGGCAAGACACCAAACCACAGCCAGGGACCACCCGTGCGGAAAGGCTCCTCTTTCGACCAACTACCTAGACATCATCCTCCTCGAACTTTGCTTCGGAAAGCGCCTCAGGGACCAATCCTGCCGACGGCGGTACGAAGACAAAATCGCCGCGCCCAACGACCATGTACAGACACTTCATAATGTGTTGGCGGCAAGGGACTGGCAAGATAAAGCGCTGAACATCAAAGATCAATGCCTGAATTTCATCTGCTATTCACCCCAGGACGGGTATTCCACGTCATCTGCCACAACCACCAGATTGCCAACCATCAGCTCTGGCCATTGCACCGTAATCCCAACGCCAATATCCCTCAAGCGCAAGGCATCCTCCCATGAACACGAGGACGAACTCCCTTGGTACCGCCTCGCTAACCCCTCATCTCCGAACATCCCCGTTCCCTGGGGGCAATTTACCGGCTTTCTTCCATCAGACTTCGCTCTTCCCCGCCCCACGGCGCCGCGCTGTCGACGGAAAGCTGGACGCCATGGATGCGAAGTTGGATGAGCTTCGCTCGCTCGTGGAGAGGATGATGAGTAGATAGCGTGTGGTGGTGCCGGCCTGTGATGTCGATGGGCGCGGTAGCGCGCAGGAGTGTTCCTCCTGAGGTCGTGGGTCTCAATCCCACATCGACTATAGCTGGTGCTGCCGGGGGATCGTTTCGTAGCGGGTTAGTGATCGACATGGTGGTTACGCCCCTTCTAGCGCTCCGCTCCTCTCAACCTGCTTCCGATGTCATTGTCGCGCACTCGACCATGTAGCGGTACATCGCAGCTCAACCGCAGAAGCGTATCAAGCTCGTTGACCATTCCGGTTTCGTCCGCCGCGACGACTTCACTGTCCTGACACTGGCTGGCAATGATTGCCATGTCTTCACAGCCGAGCACAGGCGCCCCAACCAAACGTGTTTGTGGCATATTATCCTGCTCCTGCCTCTGTATTTCCTTCTCTTCTTTGATCTCCCTCGGTACCTAGCTTCTAGGTCTTCTCAACCCTTTTCTCCTATTTCCTTCTTCTCTGTCTCGACCTTCTCTGCCTTCTCCCGAACCTCCCTCTTTAGAGGTAACCATCTTCGCGTCATCCTCGGCCCTTTTCTTCAAGTCTCTGGTAACCCTGGCCAGCTGCTCTTCAGCGTTTTTTTGGCCTGTTTCCCAACAGATGAACTTGGGGTGGAGGACACATCACTTGTAACCCCACTCATACTCGTTCGATAACGCCCGGGGCCTCGAGCGGGACTGCTGCAAGATGTCCATTGCATCGCGGCTGAAAATGTAAAGTTGTGGATCCGCCTTGTTGCAAATTCCAGTACACTGGAACTTATGGAACTCGAAGGGTTCGGTCATTGTGACCGGGAGCTTTACGTTCTCCCATAGCATGGCTGCGAACGCCTTCATGTCCTGGACGCTGTTGAGAGGTAGCGGGGTGGCAGAACAAGATACGTTCGGTGGATTCGCGCGGGATTTTGCGAATCCACCGCCAGACGGCGCTCTCGCCGTTGCGTAAGAACTGCGCTTCGTCTGCAATAACGCTGGTCTTTGCTCCCTTTAAAAAAGCAAACAAGACGATAGGCCGGATCTTAAGTCAAGATGAAAGGTATCTTGACGACACAAAAGAAACATCGGATAGACGTGTCTCGGACGTGGATAGAAGAGCGGGAACATATTGGCTGGATGGTAGGGGAATTCTTGGATAACCGGGTGTCATGAACGAGTTCTTCCCTATCAGCTTGAGGTCATGAGGCAGTGAGCGGCCGATGTGAAGAGAAGCCAGAGGACCCTCATGAGGCTTATAAAGAAGGTGCTGAGTGGGGGACAACTCGTTCGTGCTGGATTGTTGCATTTTGAGTTGTCAGCCGGGCCGTCCAAAAGATCTGAATCTGTGAATGTCCATCAATAAACAGATCTTGGCCGATGTGCCAGTGTTAGGCGGGCTGGTGCTCGATTGCCCGCTACGTGTCGGGCAGACTTTCGTTCGCCGCAGTGCTCGCGTCTCCGCCACGCCCGGCCGTCTAGCCCGCTCCTCGGCCCGCTGCCCAGCCCGCGCCTGCTCCGAAACAGGCGGCCTTGACCCAATTCGGGGTTACGGGGGCCACCCGTGCCCCAATCACGGCACCCATTCGCGCCCCTAGGGGTAAGAAGCAGAAGATTTAGGTCTCGGCCAACAATCGCCCGATCGGCGATTTTTTTCAAGCCGGCCCGCCAGGGCAATGACCCTCTCCCCGCCGCCGCCAGTCCCTCCTATCTTTCCCTGGCTCCCTCCTCTCCTCTCCACTCCGTTCCCTCTCCTCTCCCCACCGCCGCCAACCCCTCTTCTCCTATCCAGCCTCCCTCTCCTCTCTCCGCCGCCGCCGCCGCCTCCCCCCTCTTTTTTCTTCCGCCTCACCCCCTCTCCTTCTTACTCCCTCCCGGCCTCGTCTTTGAGGAAGCGTCCTTGGCCGGAAGATGAGGACGACAGGAATGATGAGGCAGAGGACGACGATGAGGACGAGGGACCACAGTCAGTCAATATTTTGGAAGAGAGCTAGAACTTCTTTTCCCATTCAAAAGACCGGACAAGCCGGAGCATCAAGGGCGGGATGTTCGAAGACAGGTTCGTCATTACCCCGTTCGGAAGACGTTGGGGAGACGCAACGGAGTATTCGTACCCATATCCACTATCACTACTTGAGAAACTTCCAGTCCTCATGGCGCCTGTCTTCCCCAGATAGGTACTTTTCTCTTCTTGCAGGCATCATAGAAGTGGCTCAGTGTATTGCACACTGGGCAACCGAGAATGTCTCTGTTGGGCGACGCATAACCACAGTCACGAAGCTCGTGAGTGTGGTGGTGTGCTGTACGGTATTGCCGTCATCGCGGATTGTATTTTGGATGCTCGGGTGTAGGACCTATCACCTGTGGCCCTACACCTTGCTGATCTCCCGTAGTTGGTTAAGCATGGTGTTGGATATTTCGGGGTCGATGATGCATGAAGGGTCAACCCGGTCGTACGAACCTCTAAAGCCAGCACGGAAAAGTTCCACCGCGTCATGCTGACCCTTGGGTAGGGTGAAGACCTTGGAGAGGTTTGCTCCCTCCCAGATCAGAGTGGTGAAGGCCCTGATGTCTGTGATCCGCTCACTCCCGATTCTTGATCCCAACGACAAAGTCTAGGGTATCTACGTCTTTGTAATGGAGAAGCCAAACTGTCCGTCCAAACTGTACATGGGCTCAAGCACCAAAGACAAGTATGGTGTGACAAAAGGCTGCGAGGTTACGAACTTGGAAATCAATTGCTCCGTTTAGTCCAATGTACTATCAAAATCTCGACGTATGAGGCCGCGTATGATCTCCATCAAAAGACCTACACCGCACCGCCGCCGCCCGTATATCTCGAGTTACAGCCGTCTTGTACTCCGGAAGCGTCTCAATAAGGAACGCCTTGAACGACGGAATGAGTTCTCAAAAGGTGGAGTGAATTCGACGAATCACTGTAAATCTGGTGATGGTTTGCTATGCTCTCCTTTCCCAGACACTAGACATTTTCCTGCTATTCCCCCTATAGCTCGTGTCCACCTCTTCCTCATGTGACCTGGCACGACCTGACACCACCCAGCGTCAAGCTCCCCCCTTGAGAGCTGGAATTATCGTCCCCAACCACTTCTCGTCTTCACCTTCAACATATTTGAGCAAAAAACACTGAGACTTCTGCTCCCAAGAAGCTCATGGCCAAGGCGCCAGCAAGGCAGGATGGCAGGCCAAAGCAGGTCCTCGCTACAAAGACCCAGACCGCTGCTCCCAAGAAAGCTCAACCCACCCAAGTTGTGCCAAGTGGGCGTACAGCGGTCCAGGCCATCGGCACATCATCTTCAGAAGTCAAATGCGGCGATGATGTTGTTTGCCTCCATGGGAAGCCCCCATGCCCGCCACCTTCTGCCCCTCCTCCGGCCGACGACTGGCATCCTGTGCCATATTGAGACCACAGCAATGATGACACCGGAGAGCAACTGACCCATTAACACGAGCGGGCAGAAGATGGGATTTTCGTGGTGTGATGTTTCGGGAAAGATTGTCGTGGAAAGGGATTGACCTGCTAGTTCCGCGAAGTCTCCCGTATCACCATCGGTCCTATGGACGGAGAGCGCTACCCCTGTGAAGTCTATGAACGCGGCGGACGCTGATTCGTGTTCATCAACGACGGCCTATGGGCCCGGGGAAGGATTGCGGTGGCATCAACTCTGGTGTTTCGTGTCGGTAAGGGCGATGTCCGAGATGGCGGTGCGTGTTCCAAAACCTCAAGGCGGATGTGGGCTTTTGGCAGAAATTGCCAACGATTTGCTTTGTAACTTTGTCGGCAGTTTCGTATTCACTCATGCCGTAGCACGCAAGAACCAGAAACGGTAGTTGTATTTGTGGGTCAGATTGCTTGTGCCCTTGCGATGTATGGCTTGTTTATCGAGGAGACTGTTGGCGCAGTGATCAGTTAGTGCTCTTCAGAACAATGCGACATGGTGGGAAGAAGTGGCATACTTTTCTGGAACTGGTGTGTCCCAGGTCCTGTCCGTATGTGTTGTCAAACAAAACACCAGGCAGGTGCTGTAGACCTCGCCGTCTTGTTGTTGAGTTTGAAGTGTTTTGGGCGATGTTCACGCCGTATTGAAAGATCCACCGAGGTCCAGCCTCTGCCTCTTAACACGCTTTTCCATCTCGCCTCTTCCGTTCGACGATCTCTTGTTCCTAGCAACAGGTCGTGGAGCTGAAGAGGCACGTGTCTTTGGGTCCTTATTGACAGCCGATTCCCAGTCGGCATACTCAAGTCGAAACCAGTAGTCGACATCTTCGAGATCGGAAGGGTGGTGGAGGACCGGGCTGGAAGCCGCTGAGGAGGAATCGACTTCGACCAGGTAAGGGATCGCGGTACCGTCTGGGTGGAAATCGTATTCCACGTCGTATACTGGCGCCATCTTGCCGGTTCTCTTGGGGTTCGTTGTGGAAAGTAAAGGCCGATGAGGTGGTATATATATACATAAAAAAGAAGACGAAAAGGACAGAGTTGAGTCTTGGGTTCTGCTTGGCTGCCTTGCAGAATGCAGATGTGCATGCTTAGCTCATCAAGGTTCTCAATGGGGGCAGCGGAAGGAAAGAGGGCTTCAGTCCCGCTCCTTCTGTGGCAACGAAACAGAATGAAGAAGAAGGTTGTGGAAGAGGAAGGAAGCAATCATGATTCATCCACTCACTCCCAACCTTGAATCCATTCCTCTCCAATTCTGATCCTTCCCATTATTCCTATGAAGGGCGGCGTCTCTAGTCGTCGGCCGGCTCTTAGATGCCTCTCCGGTTCTTTGGTACAAGGCGATGGTATGCCTTGCCGCAGGCGTCCTCAACATTTCACCCTGTTTGCCTACGAGGAGCTCCATCTTTCTCTCGACAATCTCTTCAGTGATCTGAAGATTGCTGGTCTTGATGTCTTGTCACAGCCGGGTTCCGTACACTTGAAGGCACGCTTTTCGGTACCTCTACCGTGTGCTGTCCCCCCGGTCACCACCCTCCCGAATACCCCGACCCCTTCAAATCAAGGAATACATTCCAACTACAACCGTAGTCGAAGAAACGTACTTCAGCCTGGACTGGAATACCGACCCCAAACTCAGCACAATCCTCAGCTCCCCAACCCCTCCCACTTTGTCGACATTGAAATCATCAACCGAATTCTCCTACCAAGATAAGAAGGCTTCTGCCCCCGATGTCCCGTGTCCAGTTGGGAGTCATGGCCGATTAGTTCTCAGCCACTGCCACCGTACAGCATTGCTGCGGAGGCGAAGAGAGCGCAAGAGAGGTTTTCCGGCATGTAATGGATCAATAATTTAAAAAATTGTTTACAGAGTTTCCGGGCTTATACAGATAGATCATAGAGATGATCCACGTGTGTCTACCCCTACTGAATTACACTTGCTTCCTCACCCTATATATCTGTTCCGTTGTCTGACGGTCCAAGTGCTGCTGGTTCATGACTAATGGTCGCAGTCAGGTTTTGGACTCCGCCAAGCAAACCATTCACTCACATTTTGCTTGCTATACCCATCACTCCCAATCACCAAGATACCACATCTATTTCATCCCATCCAGACAGTAATTGCCCTTCACTTGAGCAATCGAGAAGTGAATTCTCCTTCGACAGACCATTTGTTTGCTCAGATCTCCCTTCCTACTCTCCTCTATTTCCCAAACTTCCAATCTCGACAACACACGATATCCCAACAGCATCATTCAAGCAATCTTTTATCTCAATACTTTTCCCGTTTGACAATCGATTTTCTCACCTAGACTGCGCCTTGTTTCAGTCCTCCTTATTCCGACTCCATCGATCTCAACTCTTCCAACCGCCACAGCCAGTCAGCCACCTCACAAGCCAGTCCATCATGTCCTCCACCAGCTCTTCTCATGCTTCTGCTACTCACCATGCCGAATTTCTCGAGGAGGGAGAAATCCGCGAAGATCAGGACAATGATTGCCTAGAGGAAGGCGAAAATAAGTTGATCTCCCCACCTTTGCCCATGCATTATTCCCTTGACGGAGGCTTGCGCATTACGACCGGTATCAGTGAGAATGACTATCATGTTGTGGGTGACGGGTTCCGTTTGTTTGCCCTCCCTGCGCCCACTTTCAACCGACAGTTCACACTACAGTTTTCCTTCGCCAACGAACATGAAGAATACACAAATTCTGGTCGCTGTGACATCTATGCTTGAGACACCAAGAGCCACGCAACACTGGGAGAGGCACATCGCAACGTAGCCAACAAGACACACACCAGAGAACATCGCAGCTTTCTCTTACGGGGAATCTGGCCAGAACCCTTTCACCGACCCCAATATGCGCAGAGGGCGTTCCGACCAAAACCAACCACCAGCATTTCTCAACATGGCTAAACGCAATCGTCCAATCCTAACTCTACCCACCATCTCATCATTCCTAAATGCTACAGACAAATCGCAAAAGGACTAGGCCCTGAACGCGGCGGACAACCTTTGCTCTATTCCCCCGCCCCTTGTGTCTCCAACGCAACAACACCAGCAAGAAAGAAGACACCGAGAAACGTCGGTGCCACCCACCCCCCGAAGAGTTGCTAGGTGATGCGAGATTGGTGGGCTACTACTGCCGCAACACCAAACTTCTACCTCTCCCGCCTCCCGCCCGCTTGGCCTGCTTCAGTTTAATGTTGTTCTCTTCAGCAACTTTCGGTTGTTGGAGATACTTTCCGACTCCGGCTCGCGTTGCTGAGTATCAAATTGCCTTCATCTGGCGTTTAGTGCTCTGAATCCCGACTATTGACTTTGAGGGCTCACTCCGTTACCTACATCACCACCATCGTCATCCCCAGTCACAACGGCTCCGACTACCCGTCCCATCGAGGGCTCACTCCGTTACCTACATCACCAGACCACCATCATCCTCAGTCACAATGGCTCCTACAACTCATCACTCCCCGCGCGAGTCCCAGGCCTCTCCGCTCAACCACGTCACCCGTTTCCACAAGCCGGATCCGGCTCAACGCGATCAGGCCCCAGCCATCGTTGGTTGGATCGTCCGCTGCCTGTTCACCAAGCGCTACCACGCTCCGTTGATGGAAACAGAGGTTTCGTTCCTCCCCCTTCAAGCTACCTCCGAGAACAGAGTGCGATTCTTTCGGTCCCTGTCGTTGGCATTTCAGCGACTTCAGCGACTTCAGCGAGCCCGTGCCTGAATCAGATGATGTGGTCATCCAACCCTTCCATATCCCTCGACGGTGTATCACCTTCCATGCATACCCGCGACCAAGGCAGGCAGTAGCGATGGACGAAGCCGAGACAGGAAGACATCCGTCACGTTCACTCCTGCGATGAGCTATCCCACTCGTCCGGGCTGTCTCTGGGCGTGTCGTGTTGGGCCGTCAGTTCATCGTGGCCATGATCGTTCAGAGCGCCTCCCATATCGATGGGTTTCTCAAATCCATTCCATGGGCCCCCCTTGATGTATGCGAATCGCCAGAGCCCACGGCGGTAGACGTCGCATGCATATCGTTCGCCGTTAATTGGGCCAATGGCGTTATCCATCTCAAAGAGATGTAAGTCCTCCCAAGCGGCTTTCATGGCTTATAGTGATTGGAACATCGGTTCCAGGCCGGGTGGCCGAAATGCTCTGACAGTTCGATGTCTTGACGACAATGCTCTCGATTGTTAGAGGTATCTGAGCCTCAACACTACAGCCCTCTGATCATGTCTCTCTTTTGTTTGGGCCTCAACACAATCGCTGGTCTTGCTTTTGCTGTTTCTTCTCCGAGTAGCCTGTCGCCATCCTGAAGCCTCATAACAACAAAGTCAAAGGCAATCGGGCATGCGAGTGATGATTCTTTTACGTTCAATGACTCAAAACTTTACGCTTTGCTTCACGCCTTGTCCTTCCAGTCATCTTTCATGCTCGACGGCGATTGTTTGCTTGGCTTCCTCCCTTCTTTGATGCTTGCATCATATCTCTCACTCTCTGCTTTTCGTCTATCACGCCTTCCTTACACCTACACACGCACACACCTTTTGCGGTCACCTTTTCTGTTGATGTCTGTGTTTGCCGGCTTTTCCATCTGGGTTATTCACCTCCAAAAGCTTATCACCAGATAATGGAATCCGAACATAAAAGAGACAGGAAGTCCCATATCTCCCCTTCCTTCTTGTTCTGCGCGTTCCTCTTTTGTGCTCTCCATGTATATAGATACCTGTGTTTGCATGCCTTCTTCTCGGAATCCCCAGTGACTACACCAAAATGGATCTAACACACAAGTCTCCTCTAGTTAACGAGAGTGCCGAAAACACGGCCATCGTAGAGGACTCCTCTGCTGCCGACCCCAGCGTCACGTCCAACAACCCCTCAGCTGGCCCAGTGGTCGTTCCGTCATTTGTCGCCTTCGGTCAGGCTGTTCCGTTACGTCCGTTTCCCGCCAGCTTCAGCTTGACCCTTCCTCCCTCCCGGCCCTTGGCCCTCCGGCAGCCATTCCCATTTTTCCAACTGCCGCCAGAGATTCGTAATATCGTGTATGGCGCCCTGCTCACTTCAGAAGAGCTCATCGTTCCGCACAACACCTTACCGGTACCCACTTTCCATTATCAGGCCCAAGATGCCCGTAGAGCGGCCGGTCCGCTCTTCCACACCTTCCCAACCTTGTTGCGGGTATCTCGGGAGTTCGCCCGCGAGGCTGCGATGATCTTCTATACCACCAACACCTTTCACCTGGACTTGGTACATCACAGGGTGTGGCTGGTAAGGATCACAAGGCCCAACTCGTTCAACATCAGACACTTGAGGATCAAATGTTATCAAGAGTCTGATAGAAACAGGGAAACGGGAGCCTGGATTGCGAAGCTCGTGAACATGGGAAACACCATCACGAAGCGGTGCCGAGGGTTGATGAAGCTCGAAATACAGTTTGGGCGACTGTGGATCGGAACAGGAGAAGGCCCCGAGGTAATGCCCGCACGACAATGTCTCCAATTGTTTGTTGAAAACGAGGCCATCGTAACGGCTTGGAGAACAAACAGTTTGTCAAGACTCAAAAGAATAACTGTTTTCATCCGCGAGGAGTGGCAGCATACCGAATTTTTGGTTGAACTTTTGACGTACTTGGCTGGCAACGTCAAGAGAGGCGTTGTCATGGAGGGTATACATGTCGCTACGGTAAACAGATACAGATTACCAGGTGCGGCGCCACGGGAGAATCATTATACCCAGGTAGACCAGGAGCGGAAGTTTTTCGAGGGGCGGTATGACAGGGAAACAGGAACTGTTGCGACCCAGGTGGTCCCATGGGAGATACCAGCGGGGTGGCCCACCGTCTACCGCCGCGGCCATGAATAGAATTTTGTCGGGACTTGGGGGCAATGGGTCTATGGGCTTGGGGACTTGTTGTGCAAGCGCCAACTTGGGGTTTGGATGGCCAATGGAATCTGAAAAGCGGGCGATTAGGGAGGATGGAGGCGATGACCAGAACAGCACAGGTACCTCTACCTAGTCAAAGAGGAAAGGATTACTGTTAGCAAGTGATGATTGTTGTCGATTGATTTGAGCAGATCCAGTGTGTGTGTGTGTGTATATTTGTTTGCTCAGGAAATTACCTAAAGCAGCTTGTTCACAGAAAAAATCCTGAATGATTGAAGAATGACTGTGCTTGTGTGGCTTTTGGTGATGTTGTTAGGCACCTAGAACAAGAAAAACGGAAGACGAAATGAAGTCATTCCGCGTGTGTCACTCACCGTGGTGAGGAGGGGTCCTGTGACAAAGTGATGCGGCTAGAAACAAAAGAGGAAGACATCGTAGGTTATCTAAATACGTACTGACACTTGTGGGAGAACTGACTTTGCCATTGACTTTCATGACAAAACTACTCCTACGAAACCATCTCCGAAACACAACCCTGTTGGAAAGGAGTCAATCTCCCAGAACAAAGCAGCAAAAGATGGTCGCTACAAAGAACGCCATCAGATTGTTCAAGTTATTACCATTGGAAGTATAGGTAGCTCAATATCGTCTTCATCACACCTCAAAACCCATTATCAACCAACAACCTCTCAAGCAACTCATGCCTCCGTCCAGCAACCTCCCAATCATTATACCTCTTCTCCCCTCCCTCCTCAGAGGTAGAGAGACCCTCCGCCCAAGCCTCCCAGACCCCCTCGTAAACACTCCCCACATTCCTTGCTGGCGCTGGCAACTCCTCCTGCCACTCCTCCCACTTCCACTCCACCTCCTCCACTTTATCCGTCTCGTAATCATGAATCTCAATTTCCACTTCCCCCGCGCCCAAAATGATGGCTACCGACTCTTTGCTGGTCACTCTGATCTCGCCCTTTTCTCCGGTCAGAGTCCACACAAAGGCTGGTTCGCCAGGGAAGGGCGGGCCGCGGCGCATACGGAGGTGTAGGGATGCGTTCTGCTGGACGGTGTCGGAAGCAGGAAGGGAACCGACGACGTAGAGCAGGTCGGGCGTGTTGGAGGTGACGGTGCGGGTGATGGTGCCTGTTGCGCTGTCCTTGAGGGGCACGAGGGGGCGTTGGGTGTGAAAGTGGGATTTGACGTTGGTTAGTTCCCCGAGGGCATTTTGTAGAAGGTCGATTACTGCTTCTTGTTAGTCTCCTTCCTATCTCTGTTCAAACAATTCTGGTAAAAAGGGAAAAAGAAAAAGAAAAAGAGACTCACAATGCCCACCTCCAATACTCCACATATTCCCACCCGTCTCTCTCTTAGTGAAATACTCGGTCTTCTCTTGCATCGCCTCCCTCTCCGCCGTGACTCCACTCAACCACAACTCCGAACTCAACACCTTCCCTACTCTTCCACTCTTCAACACCTCCCCTATCTTCTTGACCACCGGACTAGCCCACCCCTGCGTGCCCACCACCGTCTTTATGCCCGTCTCCTTAGCTAGGGCAACCAATTCCTCCACCTGCTGCAAATTGCTTGCCAAAGGCCACTCGCTGTACACTCCCTTTCCGGCAGTCTTCCCAGTAGTCTTCCACCCCTCCAACACCCCTTTCAAAGTCCCATAGTGGACGTCAACTCGCGTGCCCGAGACCACCAGGTCTACATCCTCATCCTTTGCCAAGTCCTCAGGACTACCGTAGGCTTTGACGACGGTCGGATCAAAATTGTATTTCTTGATGGCTGCTTCGGCGGCGGAGAGAGAGGAGTTTTGGAGAGCGACGATTTGGAATTTCTGTTGGCCTCTGGCGGACAAGAGGTAGGAGAGGTGGGCGAGGGAGAGCCAGGAGGGGGAAGATGAACTGAGGCCGATGAGGGCGACGCGGATTGGGGCCATGATGATTGCGTTTGGAATGGGGTAGTCAATGGGATGCTGGTGGTGTGCGGTTTGATAGGTAGGTGATGGACGATTGGGGTTGCTGTTGGTGTATGGATGGTGTAGAAATGTCTGAAGAAATGAAGATGGGCTTATGTACATCTTGAAGATGTTCGATTTGTATGTTCGGTGTTTAATACTTTACGGATTTAGAGTAGTACGAGTCGCCGAATTGGTAATCTACCATGTCGTGATATGTCGTTAACGCCGAATTGGTAAGCACTACTGCGTCGTGTCGCCGTTCCTGTTACGCTTTTCGCACTCCAACGCATGATGCCAAGAACGATCGGTGTCTGCCTATCGTCAATGTCAGCTTCCTTTTTGTTCTGATGGTTTTCAGGCAGCCTATGGAGAAGTACATACATCGAAAGGTTGTGGTCTGGGCAAGTTCCGATGCCATTATCATTTGTCATATTGAATGATAGAAGTAACCATGAAATCGAGGAGAAGTTACTTGCATTAAGGTATGTTCATTCGAACTCGTATGTTCCTCATTTGCAACCTTCAGTCAACGACCAGCTTTTCCCTTTCCAAACAAGCTTGCCAGTAACTCCTCCGGGGCATGAGTCAATCGACTGCATTAAAGATCGCCAACAACTTCCGGCAACAGTCTGTATACACCTCCTGCGTATGTATCGCCGGCTTCAACGGATCTGGACTCTTGTCCCAACCATGGGCAACCCCGGGAATCATCCTGTGATGGACCGTCTTATTCAGAGGCTCGGCCGCCAACCGCTTAGCGAAGGCCTCTCCCTCCTTCTGCAACATGTCCCACTCGCACGTGTACACGAGCACGTTTTGCGGTATGGCTTCCCTCAGTTCGTCATCGCTGGCTCGGGCGGGCGATAGCCAGGGATGCGCCATCTTTATATCACCAGGGTAGAGGTAAGACCCGTCGAACAGGTTCGTCATGGCAGGAGGCAGCGTGCTCTCGGGCTTGACGCAGGTGGCGCGCTTCTCGGCGCGCGATATGCTATAGTCGGTGACGGGGTACCAAGTCGCGATGGCGCGGATCTTGTGTTCGGGGACTGGCGGAGCCTTGTTATCGGGGTCGGCCAATTCCTTCAAGTGCTCATTGAAGCGCAGCGTGGCAGTGATTGCGATGTTGCCGCCAGCTGAAAAACCGGATGTCGCGAGCTTCATGGGGTCAATATGTAGGTCGGCGGATTGGCGAATGAGGTAGAAGAGCGCATCGGCAGCATCGTCGACGGCGGTCGGAAATGGGTACTCGGGCGCGAGGCGATAGTCGACCGAGACAAAGACGGCATCGCAGGTCTCGAGGACGTAGCGAGCAAATCGGGCATCGTCGGTACCGTTGCCGATTGTGAAGCCACCGCCGTGGAAGTTGACGACTGCGGGATATCGCTTGCCGTGTTTGGCGGCATCTTCGTAGCCCTTTGGAGTGTAGAACTGGAGGGTAAAGGTACCCTTGTGTTTGGATAGAAGCGAGGGGATCGTAAGCGTGAAATTGGGGTTTGGTGGTCGAGGGCTAGCCATGTAATGGAGGGTCATGCCGAGGTATAGACCGGATCGCAGGGCAGAAGCCTGTGCCTTGAGATACCATCTCGATGGGGCCGGGTTGATGGCATCGTTGGCGGTTTCGGGTCTCACCCAGCTTCCATCGTCTTTGTGGGTTAACGGCAGGACGGGGATCCCCTCGACGGTGGGAATTTTGCCTGTCATGGTGTTGACGATTCGATCAATTAGGGGGCAAACTGTAGAGAGTAAACAAGGAGATTGCGACCAAAGAGTCAGCAAAGAGTTACGTTAGATGATAGTATCAGGGCGAGGTAGTTTGGTAGTTATGTCGTGTCAATGGGAGTATGGGACAGGTCGCACCAAAGGTGGGATGTGGACAAAATGATAATTCAGCGATTTATGTAATGTTTGTCGATCTTCGTGTGTCGAATTACCTCCATGAGTGCCACAACAAAAACCCGTCATTGTTGTGCTCCATTCAACGCATCAGTCCAGGAACAGGAACAGGAACAGGACACGGACTGGAACTATCACGGCTGTGCGCCATTGTACTTCAGGCTCCAGGGGACCAAAAAAGGGACAAAGAGCTGCCCTGAGGTCCAGAGGAAGGGGAGGGGAGAGGAGGGGAATTGATGTCATCGGCATCGAGTGGCCTGACTTGTGATTGGTTCATTTTCCCTCAGGCCAAGGCTAGGCCAGGCACACTCTTGGCTTAGGTTGCGAAAATACCCGACTGATAAGTAAAAGGGCTTATCGAATAACCTTCGTCCAAGGTGCCTGCCGCGAAAGCAATGAGAAGAAAAAGAACTCCACAGAAGATCGACCGATGTGAAGAGAAAGAGCGACGTTCATCAACTTGACCACCCAAAGGAGGACACAATCGTTAATAGTGATATTATCCCTTTACAGTGAGACATTCGCGCTTAGACTCCCCTCTGAATCGTGCAATGTTTTGTCTCGTTTCATGCTTAAACTGAAGTCAGTTGTCCTCTTTCCGCCGACATTGGCCGCTGACGAGTTCTTGGCGCTGCATAAACGGTGACGTCATACGCCCCATGACGTCGTTTGCTCTTTCCACGCTGGGTGGTGGCCTGGACCATCGATCGATTTCCGGCCTTTTTTAGTTTTGAATTTGTGACAAGCGGGGGGGGGGGGGGGGGGGGGGCAGTCACCAACGACAAGCGGACATTCGCTGACAGAGCAAGTGCATTCATGATGCACATGGCTCCAGGAAGAGGGCACTTGTCTGTAACAAATCACGGTTGCAGTGTATGAAACATTGGAATGACAGCACCACGCAGTCTAGACTCTCCGTCATATTCATGGACTGGATCAACGCATTGGATTATTGAGGGTGTTTCCTCTCACTAGTCAAGTATCCATGATATGCCCCCAAGTACGTACGGTATGCCTGTCCTTGGTGATGATCACGATCCGATACAACTGAGTAGTGTAGATACCATCGGAAATTCGGAATGCCCAGGCCAAGAATTACACCCACATACCGTAGGTGATTAGTATCAAACTTGTCGGATTTCCAGGCACAACATCCCAAATACTGAAAATCAAGCATGGGTCCATCTCGTCCCATTCCCATTCCGCCGGCGTCCGAAGTCTGGCTGTTCTTGAGTGGCTGCTGTTGCCCCCCCTGCCCTGAATCACAAGCTCTCATGTAGTGTAAACATCCATGCCTCTGACCAAGCACACAATGACCGGGGTGTAATCAAGGTTCCCCAGCAAATTCCCGAACATTCGTCATCGCCTGTTTTCTGTTTTCTGTTTTTTTGTTTTTCTGTTTTGTTTCTGGTCACCCTCTCTTTCCTACTAATTGTTTTCTCCCTTATAACCACCTTGCCTTGCTGTCCCTCCCATTTTCTCTCTCCATCACCATCAGATCTGCGAATTGCACACACGGCCTTTTGTCTTGGGGCTGCCACACAGTCCACAAGCTTCACAAGTCGTTTATTGTCCCCAGCAATCAACATCACCAATTAATAAACAAGAACAGATACCCAACAAGATACCCCTTAACCCCGAATCCACAGCCATCATGTCGCCAGGCAAGCTCAAGAAGCCATTGCTGGCTCTCAACCGCATCATCGGCCATTCCTCGGCCAAGAACCACATGAGCAAACCCAAGATCGGCGACATCGACCAGCTCGACGACGAGCGCGCAAAGAAGAACATCCAGAAGATCCAGGAGAAGCGCGCAAAGGAATACCAACTCGAGGAAGAAAAGAAATTGATGATTCAAAAACGCAGCGAGGAAGAGAAGAGGTGGCACGAAGCCGACGGCCCCGAGATCGCTCGACGATACGGAACACAGGAAGAGGAAGCCCTCGCTCCCGCAAAGTCCCTTCAAGTCCTCGTTAACGACTACCAGAACATTGGCAAGACCGTTAGCTTCCGAGCCCGCGTCCACCACGTCCGCGCACTTAGCTCCAAACTCGCATTCGTCGTCTTCCGCGACCAGATCGAGACGGTCCAGGGCGTCCTGTCCGTCAGAGATGGCGTCGTCTCGGAGAACTTTGTTCGCTGGGCCGAGCACATCACGGCCGAGAGTTTTGTACACGTCGAGGGAAAGCTACAGCAACCTCCTGAGGAGATCAAGGGGTGCACAATCCACAATGTCGAGGTTTTGATCGATACCATGCACCTCGTTGTCCCTATTGACGAGCATCTCCCTGTCGACGTCCACTCGATTGACCATGTCGAGGTGGACAGCGAGACAAATCAGCTGGAGTCCCTGGCCTCGACCAGAGTCCGTGTCTCTAACCGCATTGCCTTCCTCCGTACACCCACCGCTCAGTCCATCTTCCGCATCAATGCCGGTATTTGCAGCATCTTCCGTCGATACCTCGAAGACAAGGGCTTCATTGAGATCCACACTCCCAAGTTGCAGCCCGCTGCGACCGAGTCGGGTGCTGAGGTCTTCAAGGTGAACTACTTTGGCAGGACTGCCTTCCTCGCCCAAAGCCCCCAGTTGGCCAAGCAGATGAGCATTTCGGCCGACTTTGGCCGTGTCTTCGAAATTGGCCCCGTCTTCCGTGCTGAGGACAGCAACACCCATCGTCACTTGACCGAGTACACCGGTATGGATCTGGAGATGGCCATCGAGCAGGACTACCACGAGGCCATGCACATTATCGACGGCTTGATGAAGGAGATCTTCAAGGGTATCTACGGCAAGTACCGCAAGGAGATCGAGATCATCAAGACCCGCTTTCCTCATGAGGATCTGGTCTGGCTACCAGAGACCCCCATCATTCCCTTCAAGGATGCCATCAAGCTCCTCAACGATTCCGGCTGGACCGACGATCACGGTAAACCCGCTTTGGAGACTGAGGATCTGAGCACCCGTGCCGAGATTCAGTTGGGCCAGGTCATCAAGGAAAAGTACAAGACGGATTACTACATCATCGACAAGTTCCCGTCCTCTGTTCGTCCTTTCTACACTCATCTTGATCCCGAGGATGACCGCTTCACCAACTCCTTTGACATCTTCCTTCGTGGACAGGAGATCACCACTGGTGGTCAGCGTATCCACAGGCCTCACCTTTTGGAGGAGCGCATGAAGAAGGCCGGTATCGAGCCTCTTGGCATGCAGGAATACCTTCAAGGCTTTGAGTATGGTGTCCTGCCCCATGCCGGCTGCGGTATTGGCCTCGAGCGTATCGTGTTCCTCCTCCTCAACTTGGGCGACATCCGTAACGCTTCTCTCATTCCTCGCGACCCCAAGTCCCTCCCCGAACACAAGGAACTCGTTGGCAAGCTCCCCCACCCCGAAGCCGACACCATCAAGTATGCCTACGATTACGACCATGGCGCGACTGGACTTGAGCTCCCCCCCGTCGAGAAACTCATTGTCAACTACGGTGATGCCACCAACACCTCCTGGCTCGACGAGCGGTACCACGTCTGGCGCCATGAGCAGACGGGTGCTGCCATTGGTTACGCCGAGGACAACGGTTACGCCCTTGTCATGGGTAACCCGCTCTGCGACCCTCGCCAATACCAGCTCGTCATCCGCGCCTTCCTTCAAGATATGCGCCACACCAAGGACCTCCGTCCTCTCTGGCTCTTGGTGGGTCCCGAAGTCGAGGAGATTCTCGGCTCCAAGCTCGGGTGGCGTTCGCTCTCTTGCGTCGCCGAAGAGCGCGTGTCTGTCGACTCGGCCAAGAAGGTGGCCAAGAAGGAGCGTCAAGCCGAAGAAGCTGGTGTGTCCATCCACGAGGTGCCCATCGGTGAGCCCGTGCCCGAACACATCCGCGAAAAGTGCGACAAGCGCATCCAGGACTGGAAGGACAACCGCAAGGGCAAGAAGCAGGTGCACATCACCGAAGTCCGCCCGTGGGTCGACATGGAGCACCGTCGCTACCTTTGGGCCGAGGACAAGAACGGCGAGATTGTCGCCATGTGCGTGCTCGCCCGTCTTTCTCCCGCAAACGGGTATCAGATCAAGTTCGCCTTAGACTTCCCCGGTTCTCCCAACGGAACCATTGAGGCCCTGATCTCGGCAGCGATCCAGATGCTGGCCAAGGCCGGTGTCAGGAACGTGACGTTCGGCGCGGGCGCCTTGCCGGAGATGGTCACTGGCGGCCATCTCAACGGAATGAGAGCCAAGATGTTGAGCCATACCTACAAGACGATTTGCCAGCAGTTGAAGTTGGTGAACAAGTCCGAGTTCCGCGAGAAGTTTGGCGCGACGAACGATTTGGTGTACATCTGTTACCCCTTTATGGGTCTGGGTGTCTCGGGTGTGAGGACACTTATCAAGTTCTTTGAGGATGAGATGTAAAAGGCCTGAAGCGGCTCATGGGTTATGATTTGATGGTTTTTTTCTAATGGTTATGACGACGGGGCATTCACGATGGCATGCACTTACAGTTATGTTCTTTTGCTTTGTTTTCTTCTTTGCTCATCGGTTTTGATACACGATACGATACCCTTTTGGTTTGTATACCATATTCAGTTACCAGCACTCAAAGTCACAAGACGTTTTTAATCGCACTACGGTATGAGACTTGGTCTAGTACTGTTGTTGTGGAAGTCTAGTAATATAGATTAATAGGTGGTAATGGGAATGAAACAACTCGTCTCTATCACATGGCTTGTATTTCTCTGACTTCCCGGTTGTTTGCATCTCCCCCAACATTGGTCTCGAATTTGCAACTTGCTCTGTTTCTTCCAGTCATTCATTTCCTCCGGCCACGGTGATTGAACACATGTCTCAAACTCGAAATCTAACCGGTGCGCACATGCAGATTCTCATCTAAATCCTCGATCATACCACCTTTCATTATATCAATGCCAATATCTGATAGACACCAACGACTGGTTCCTATCAAAACGCAAGCCTCCAATTACTACCTGCATGTGTTTATCAACTACACTACTACCATCCTATTTAAGCAGTCAGCTATCAGGGATGGGTACATAAAACGAACATGAAAAACACCTTTACCATTGCCCAACCCACGTGCGCTCTGAAAACCTCGATCCACAATCGCCAACGGTTTTTTTTTTTTCTTGAGTTCTTTTCCCTTTCCCCTTTCCCTTTTTGCATTCAAGGTACAAGATTGTTGGGGAATCTCATCTCATCTCATCTCATTTCATCTCAATCTAGAGGTAGTTAATGCCCTCCCGCCGCCTATTCGAGGGGTCCCGCTCGCTTGCAACGTTACGGGTACAGAGATGATCCCGGTTGGTTGTTTGGTGGGCGCGAACGACGGGCGGCGGGTGTTAGCGAGATTGAATGGATGCATTGCAGAATGTCGATCACCTCATTCCACCACCCTCGTTCTACCACTCCACCACTCCACGCCCCTTCTCATGTCCCCATACCCATTTGTACCCTAACTAGATGGGGGTATCTGGGATCATGGATGAAATGAAATGAAAAGGGGGAAGTTTCCTCCTCCGCCTTTCAAGATGGGATTTTTTTTTTTTTTTCCCCTCCTCTGTTGGTTTTGGGTTCGGTTTTCTGGAAGTGACACAATTCGTTTGTTGTGGCTTCGAGAAATAACAAAGTTACAGAGTAGAGGTTGAAGTTGAAGTTTGGGCCTTTGGGGTTGGTTCAACACAACTTGAGACTTGTCTCGGTCACTTCACTTCAGGTGAACTTCCACTAGGAGTAGGTGTAGTAAAACTGGGAAGTGTCGGTGCGGATTGCGATAAAGAGCAAGGTATTTCTTCTTCAAATATTCTGGGTTCGAGAGGTCAAAACTAACCCTCCAGATCTAAATAAAAGGTTCACTCGGTCGCCGAAGGGGTTCTTAGACCTCACCAACTGCTGACCCCAGTTAGTTCCCTCACTTGTTCAACATCAACCACAACAACCAAAATGCTGCTCCCACTCAAGCCCCTCGTCGCAGCACTCGCCTTGACCGGCAGCACAATCGTCCAAGCCGCCCCCCTCTTCGACTCCGTCACCGCCTTCCTCACTCACCTCACCACCAACCCTCCCAACGCCGCCCAACACCTGGACCTGAAAACCCCCAGCTCCGACCCGACCGGCCTCAACACCATCTCCACCCTTTCTTCGTCTGCGCAATCGGCCCTCCAGAAGAACCAAGCCTACCTGCTTCTCATCAACGCCACGCCCTTCACTCTGCGCAGGACAGGCGGGCATTCCTACCAGATGCCCGCATGGGATAACTCCTTTCCTGATCTCGTGCAACCAGGACAGAGCGTACGCGTCTACATCGAAGCCAAGACGCACAAGGACGACGCAGCGGAGATGAGGTACGTCGTTGACGAACTGGGCGGAAGGGAAGTAGAGTTCCAGTATCGTGGCCGTGACGGTCCCGTCCTGCAGGTGGCGTGGAAGAGTTTGGCGGCCGTGAACAACCCCGTGGGCTCGGTGCGGAAGTTGGTTTGGCATCAGGGAAATAACGTCCCTTTTGTTTTGGCTGCTGCGCCGTCGGCCAAGAACACGAACTTTGATCCGACTCAAGAGTTGATGGCTAGTCCTGGGCTGCCGACGGCAGGGTGGATGAAGCAGGGGTATGAAAGGATGCATTGTTTGAAGCTGAGGGAAATCAGCCTGCCCGGAACGCATAATAGTGGGATGTCGTTGCTTACAGGCGGTACGCCCCTGGTGAAGGCCAGGCCGGAGTCGGTGCAGTGTCATGCTAGTCAGATGACGGTGGGCAAGCAGCTGGAGGCCGGAGCAAGGTGGTTTGATGTCCGTCCGGTGATTGCGGGCGGGAAGTGGGCGACGGGGCATTACACGTTTTTCAACGGGATCAAGTTGCCGGGGGGATTGGATAAGATTCCGGGGTTGGGTGATCTGGCCAAGGAAATTGGGAAGTTGGGCGGGGGAGATAAGGAGATGGTGTTGGAAGGGTGGCAGGGCGGGAACGGGCAGTATATTGCGGATATCGTGAGGGAGGTGAACGAGTTCACGGAAAAGAACCCGGGGGAATTGGTGGTGATTAACCTCAGTCATGGCCTCAACACGGATACCTTTTCCCGCAACCCTAATGCCCACCTTAGCCAGCAGGAGTGGGAGAAGCTGATGACGCAGTTGTTGGCTGTCAAGAACCGGGCCACGCACATCACCCAGCCTAACGTCGACCTCACCTACCTTTCTCTCTCCGATCTGCTCCCGCCTTCCGATAATGGTGATGCTTCCCGCCGCGGTTCGGCTGTTCTCTTGGTCGTCGACGACGTCACCTCGGACAACAACCAACGCGTCGATCTCTCCAAGTTTGCCAACCAGGGCTTCTTCTTCCGCGGCCAGCTCGCCATCTTTGACTCGTATGCCGACACCAACAACCTGAACGACATGATCAGCGACCAGTTCGCCAAGATGCAGACGCATCGCACCAAGGCGGATGATGCCATGTTTTTGCTCAGCTGGACGCTGACGCAGCCGCCCGAGACCACGATCATCGGGAGTATTGTCAAGTATGCTCAGGATGCCAACATGGCCTTGGGAGAGAAGCTGTGGGCGCAGGGTCGAATGACGAGGCAGACGTATCCGAATGTGGTGAGTGTTGATGCCTTTGACGGCGATGGGGAGGTTGCTGGGTTGGTGGCGGCAATCAATTGGTGGTTGACGGGGGAGTGTCCTGCGTTGTAGGTTCGTGGAGGAGGAATTGATTGGTAATACAACTTGATACAGAAACTGTGACGCGAGCCAGGAAGAAACGAGGTATGTGATTGAGATGATTTTTAGTTTTCAGTACACACAATTAATTACCAGTAATTTTTGTTTTCTTACATGTCAGCTTGGTGTACTTACACCAATGTCCTGCCATCTTCATCGTGGCTCCTTCCGCCGTCATGTGATTATTGCTATGGGGAGACGGGATCAGGTGGTTGTCCTCTACTCGGCGTTCCTGCACGTCGGTACTTTTTCCTTTTGCTCTTCAAAGTTTCCTGACCACAAGCAGATTTAGTACAATCGAATCTGAACCATCGTCTTGCTTGACCTTGCCGGTTTTCATGAATGACATTTCCCAATCATCACAGCTCCTCTCCACCCCAACCTGATCAATATAGAAGTTCAATCCAGGACTCGAAAAGAACCCCGACGTTGTGATCTAGATGTCAAGTTTGATTGAAGTATTGCCCGTTTCGACGGTCTTGACGCTTTTTCAACTGACTCGTTGTACTAGTGGTCGGATCAACAGAAATTGAAGGGGATGTTCTTGGGATACGAAGCCCTATCAGCTTCACTTGTCATATTCACATCACCTCACATCATGGTCATCACTCGAGGTATCATCGTCTGGAGGCATCACAACTAAAACGTAGAACTTACCCTTCCTTAAGATAGCTAACCGTTATCTGAGTCCCTGGAAACTCACCAAGTACTCGACTCGAACATATCGCATACAAGTGCTTGCTCAAATCCGAATGGAACTGCACACCTGTTTCCAACAAGTGTTCGCGTTCTGCCCAAGTACCATAGAGGAACTAGGTCATCCTCCCCTTTTCCACTGGGTGGTGGGTGGATACTGTGTTTGAACTGCTTCACGTAAGCAGCCAATAGGTAGTAGCCTAGCTGTCACGGTTGTTGCCATTGGGTCGTGCACGAGCCACAAAGGGAAAACGCACAGACACACTCAGAAAGGCTGCCAGCGGAAAGGCACGTGACCTCAGATTGTGATCAGGGAATCGTTCTCGCTTGAATCTCCACCATCACATCATTCAGGTCACCAGGTCAATCCCATCGCATCAATCGCGTCGATACCATCAATCGCGCTCGGAGATGGCGGACTCCAGGCCCCATTCACCACTATCATCTACTCAATCCTTTGACCTGCGCGACGATGGAGCACCGGAACCAGCACCACCGGCTCAATTGCCCGACCACGACGAGTATCGCAATGACAACATCCGCGACGACGAACATGATGCATCAACTCAACTGCCTTCGTCCCTAGTGTGAGTTGTCCGTTAGTACACCAATTATTTGGCTTCAAACGTGCACCGCCTCCCGCCCCCTTCTTCCATATCCCGTCTTCCGTCTCCCTCTAGCGACAGACAAGCTAATCATCGCCATGTACTTGTTGCAGCACTGCCTGATCGTCATAGTTAGCGGGTCGATTGTGACTGGCATACGGTTTTCTTTATCACAACGATACACACACACACTATTCATTTGCTCTCTGCTCTCTTCCCTCCCATCCTTACCCACACTCCGGCTTCCTGTCTTTCCATCCCCTTCTCTCTTCTCCCAACTCCCCTTCCATCCGTCACCTCCTCTCCTTCCCGTCACCGCTCAGTGAGCAGCCACCCTTCCCCCCGGCGATACCATGTGCTCAAAGTACGCCTTCCACACCGGTCAGGGGCCGTTATAAAATGCCAACTCCTACCCATCAGGTTCGCCTGTTGGAAGGACTGGGGCACTTGGTTGGTGTGGAAGTAGTTCTGGGAGATATATCGTCTCGCTAGGGCAGCTGTAGGAAGATGCCCGGGCTAGCGCTCGGTACTCCCAAATACACAGCTACTCCGTTTCTTGCTGGCGACAGGCTTGAAGTTTGTGACCACACCGGTCAGGGGTCGTTATAAAATGCCAACTCCTACCCATCAGGTACGCCTGGTGAAAGGACTGGGGCCCTTGGTTTGTGTGGGAGCAATTCTCAGAGCGGTATTGCTATGCAAGGACGGTGGGATAATCACCAGAGCTAGTAGGCTCAGTCATACAGGTACTGCGTTTCTCGCGGACGATGAACCCGAAGCACATAACCACATCGGTCAGGGGCCGTTATAAAATGCCAATTCCTACCCAGCAGGTACGCCTGGTGGAAGGACTGGGGCCCTTGGTTTGTGTGGGAATGTTGCTGGGAAAGTGTGCGACCATATCGGTCAGGGGTCGTTATAAAATGCCAACTCCTACCCATCAGGTACACCTGGTGGAAGGACTGGGGCCCTTGGTTTGTATGGGAGCAGCACTGTGTTAGTTAAGTATACTGATAAGTTTGTAGTTCAAACGAGCGTCGTGAGGACTATGGAGAAAACCTTCATACCGAGTTGATCGAAAGTCCCGGTAGACATGACGACGGAGACGCATCGACCGCCTCTGGCTCGCGCGATGATGAAATTCACTGCAAGATCGATTTACGCAATCTTAGCGGGATGGTGATTTGGGAGGATGCCCACCATCAGGACCAGCAAACATCAGACTTGCGCATCGACCTATCCGTGGATACCGCAAAGCGAGAAGCTGTTTTTGCCCTCCATGGCTTCTTCTATTCCAAAGGCGGCGGTCACAAAGCCTATCTTTCTCTACTTGTTTATCCGGAAAAGGTTGAGTCGCTTGAATTCGAACGCGCCCGTTTTGTGCCCGAATCTATAATGAACAACATTCCCGATGACAGCACTGTTTCTCTGCGTTTCACCATGACACAACCGCCAAACCTCATGATACCAAAGGATCGGCGTGTTGAGTCGAAGCCGCGGTACCAAGCTGTTGTTGATACTATCGCGTCTTTGGGCTCGGTTAATCGATTCACCATTTACCTAAGTGACCTTTCACCGGAGATCCAACAGGAACTGGCTTTGCTGCCCTCCGTCTTCTCGTCTGTCCGTCCATTCGGCCGGCTACAGGCGGACGAGAAGTGGGCGCCCCCTAGCTCATTGTATCAGTACACATTTGCTCAGGTCATTGACTTGACCAGTGCTGCCCCTGTCTCTAACGGTGATTCCACCAAGGAATTCGAGGAGTTGGGAAATCCAGTTGAGGAAGGAGCCGCCATACCCCCGCCATACTCACCAGGGGACTCCCAGCGTTCGGGACAAAGCATTGGTCCCTCAAGTAGGAAGCGAAGGGCCAGCGAACCCTTGCTTGCTCACAGCACGGAAAAGCACGGAGCTTCAGACTCCAGTGTACTGGGATACGGAACACCAGGAAAAGAGCCTCAACCGCCGTACACCAGGAGTGGCAACCCCGCAAGTCCTGCACACTTCTCAACCCCATCTGGTACGTTCTGTCTATCCACAATTGATAATCTGCCCTTTCTAACGAAGTCCGTCGCAGACCGTAAACGTCAACGTACCGCAGAACTTCTTTCCCCCGTAACCAACGCCGATATCGTTTCAGCATTGCGCCAAGTTCTCACGTACAACACCTCCCTCTCCAACCGTATTTCACAGCTCGAAACCCGCCTCGATCACTGCTCCTCTCGACTCGACTCGTTAATAACCGAGTTCGTTGCCGCCACCGATCGCACCCGGACTCCCTGCCGTTATGACACTGAAGAAGCAGAGCACGTTTTCAGTCAGATCGACCAGCGCATCGAAGACGGCATTCATGACATACGCCACGAGCTCGAAGACACGATCAAGGTCGAGGCGGAGGAGCGGGTCACTGAAGAAGTGAGGTTGCAACATGAGGAACTTCGCGACAAAGTGGAAGCGGACTGGACCGAGGACGTGAGGAAGGGGATTGCTGAGCAAATTGCCTCAGAGGTAGAGGAGAAGACGACGCGCGAGGTGCTGAAGGGGATTGCGGAGGTTTTGATGGGCGCTTATCAGGCCAGTCAGGACGGAATATCCAGCTTGTTCCCAGGCAACAACAGATTCGGTGCGACTGCAGCTCTACCTGGCGAAGCGGCCCTCCGTGCGGCGGTGGAGGATATTCAGAGCAAGTATACGGATGAGTTGACGGGAGAGGAAATGATTGGGGTGTTGGATCTCCTTGAGGAAAACCCGCTAAGTGCGGTCAAGTACAATGCGTGTGGTGAGGAGACGAGAAGGGTGTATGTGATGAAGTGGAAGGCGGACGTCTCAGGACGGGGTATATTCAAATCGACATGGTATAAGCGATAAGGGAAGTGATGGATATGTTGGCAATACTGGCAAGCAGAGGGAGTTCTTTACGCGCACACAGGGTGACGGATTATGACGCCGATGGTTAATCACATGATATTTACTCGCCTAGATGAACAACGGGCAATCGATGTTGAACCCCTTTCCACCATCTCATTGGATACGTGACCCTGACACCTGAACATGCCACCATTTTCATCCCCCGAAATGAACGTTGTGTTGTTTGGTTCTGATGGATTTGCGATACCAAAGTCGAAGAAGATGAGATAGATTCTGTGAAATGAGGAACGGTATGTATAATAGGGAACAGAAAGAAAAAAAGAAGAAGAAAAAGGAAAATCGACGATCGGCACCGGAGTCGAACCGGTAACTTCCCTCGTACTGAAAGAAGGTCCGAAGACACGACTAGCAGGCGGTTAGGATGTGTTGCCCATTACACCAACGGACCATCTGGTAGGAAGGGCGGCAGTTACCGACTTATGTACCTAGTTCCGTCCCAAGGTTCAAACATGTGATTCTGAGGCTGGGACTAAGTCCATGGGATGGTTTCTTCTTATGACCAGTCTTGGTGGACAACCGTACACGGCTTGGTGTTTCGGCTTTGAACTTGGGAAGGGTGGTGGCATGGAAGGATAGAGAACGGTTAAGTCGGCGTTCAATACTTGATTGAATGGGTGAAGTCTATGTCCATTCAAGGAACGCATGGAAGTGTTGTGAAAGTCCATGCCAAGATACGAGGTAAGAGGCTCTCGTTGCCCGCTAAAAAGCCCACTAAAATACACAGCGCTCCACAGCGCACTTCGGGCAGCTTCGAGTACCACTTCCAGGCCTAGGTCGTCCACATAGGCGCTCACCTGACCCCGCGTAAGCTGACCGTGTCGGGCATCGAAGCTCACGCCGCGGTAAACGCGAATCTCGGCTGCCAACTTCCACTTTGCACGACGGACATCGCCCTGAACCCGCCAGGACAGCTCACCACCTCCGACCTCGACATTCTCCCTGCGATGAACACACACGCAAAGGACGGCTAGGATCTAGATTTGTCGAGGCGAGCAGTGCCGTTGCGCGACTCGCAGTCCACTCAACATGCCATGACCGACTCCGGGGCCCAGGGTCAGCCACCTCCCGAGCTCTATCCCCAGTACTGCTTCCACCTCTCGCCCACCATCAACAAGTGGTGTCATCTACGAGCAGCCGATATTATCGCCCTGTCGAGCCACCCGGGGTTTCAAGGTATTTCGCCTCCATCTTTCAATTCCGGTTGATTCTCTAAGTCTATGTCGAGAGTCTGACAAACGGATTGTGTCCAGGCCAAGACCTCTACTTCCACCTCAACCACCCCATCAAATGGGTTCGTATCTGCGGTATCGTCGTCGCCATCGACGTCTACGGTGACTCCTCTTCACGAAGCAAGGGGCAGATACAAGTGATCACCATCGATGATAGTAGTGGGCATACCATTGAATGCGTTGTCCCGCTTCCTCCACCTTCTGCTCCCTCCGTTCCTTCTTTAGGCAAACAGGAACAACGACAACCACCCCAATCATTACCCCTCATCGACTCCCAAATCGACATTGGCCACATCCTGGATATCAAAGGCTCTCTTCGCACGTTTCGCGAGCAGCGACAAGTCAAAGTCGAGAAGATCGTCCATCTATGCACAACAGAGCAGGAGGTAGCCTTTTGGGAGAGAGTGGTGCAATTGCGAAAAGAGATCTTGGATAAGCCGTGGAAACTGGATGAGAAGGTAGTCAGGAGGTTAAGAAGGGAGGCGATGGGGGTAAATGAGCGGGATGCAAAGAGGGAAAAGGAGAAGGATGAAGCGAGGAGAGAGAGGAAGAGGAGGAGGAGGTTGGAGGAGGAGAGAAGAAGGTTGGAAAAAGAGAGGAGGGTAGAGGGGGAGAGAAAGGTCGCTACTCCTGACCCTGTGGTAAAGACGCAGGCACTACAAGTGGTGGTTCCAACGAGGACCAAGAGGAACGTCACGGGCTTGGAAAGAAAGATCGTGTCGAGGCCGCCGATACCAACGAGACCCAAGGAGCCTACGGGTCTGGAAAGAAAGACCAAGTCGGTCAGTAGTGACAGGGTGGTTCCTGTAACTGGCAAGTACACGGCTCTTGGGCTGTGACAGTGGACTATTGGAAAGAAGGAAGGTTGGATATATCCTTCCAGATATCACGGCCAGGACCATTTCGTCCGCGAGTGGCACCATAATATGGGCAAGGTCCAATACAGTCCATAAGTATTTCTTGTTGACTCTTCTGTTTTTCCCGCCCCAATCATCCAATCTGTTTCACTTCCATCACCAGACTCAGTGACAGTTTTCCACCCCATATCACATTATCACATTTGATAAATTGTCTATCGTCAACGCACTACTGGCATTCCTCCGAATACATCATTCCTCCCAATCTAGTCCCTACCCAAGGAGCGTCGTCGCGTACCAAGCCTGCTTGCCTCACAACTTGTCTCACCCAGCTCTCCGATCATCCACGATGTCCGGCAGTCAACAGGGCGAGTGGCCGCCATTCGTCGGCTACCAAGTACCCAACATGTCTGGCAATCAACAAGGCGACTTACCGCAATTCGACGTCAATCAAGGGCCCATGATATCTGGTGCTCAGCCAGGCGAGTCACCCAAGTTTGGCGACGACGAGATGCCTACCGGTAGCATGTATGAAAGTCAGCAAGGAGAGTTACCGCAATTCGACCCCAACGAACTGCCTGGCATATATGAAAATCAGCATGGAGAGTTACAGCAATTCGACGTCAACCAAGCGCCCATGTTGTTTGGCGATCAACAAGTCATCCTAGAGCAGTTTGACGCCAACCAGATGCCTACCGAGAGCATGTATGGAAGTCAGCAAGGCGAGTTACCGCAATTCGACGCCAATGAAATGCCTGGCCTGTATGAAAATCAGCAAGGGGAGTTACAGCAGTTCGACGCCAACCAAGCGCCCATGTTGTTTGGCGATCAACAAGGCCAGCTACAGCAGTTTGACGCCAACCAGATGCCTACCGGTAGCATGTATGGAAGTCAGCAAGGCGAGTCGTCTCTTTCCCCTGCCAACCAGGTGCCCATGATGTTTGGCAATCAGCAAGGCGAGTCACAGCAGTTCAACACCAACCAAGCACTCATAATGTTTAGCAATCAACAAGGCGAGTTACCGCAATTCGACGCCAACGAAATGCCTGGCCTGTATGAAAATCAGCAAGGCGAGTTACAGCAGTACAACGCCAATCAAAGGCCCATGATATTTGGCAATCAGCAAGGCGAGTCGTCTTTTCCCCCTACCAACCAGGTGCCCATGATGTCTAGCAATCAGCAAGGCGAGTCACAGCAGTTCAACGCCAACCAAGCACTCATAATGTTTGGCAGTCAACAAGGCGAGTTGTCGCTTTCCCCTGCCAACCAAGCACTCCTCGGAGCTACCTCTGCTCAAGGCGGTCAAGGAGCAGAACAGTCAGCGACCATCGAATCAGTGATGGCTGCCTTGACACGCCTGGCGGCAATTTGCGAAGGCATAGAGACCACCTTGCCCATGGACGTCTATCGTGAGCTGCAAAGAGATTACAATGCCTTGGTTTCCACAGTGCAGGCGAAAATAGACCTCTCTCGAGAACCTGTGCCTCAACCGATACTGGAAGCTTCTATACGCCTAGAATCAAGGGTAAGCCAATGCAGCTGTGTACCTTCCATTTCGCTCTGGACTGAGATAGCCTTTTAGTTATTCCAGCTCATGCATCACACACCTGTCGACGATGTCGCCAGCCCGGTTCTTGGGCGACTAGCCGCCCCGCCGTGTCAGCTAGAGAGCATGAGCTCGGTAGCCATGGCACAAACAGTCGCAACGTTGAACCAGGCCTTTCCAATACCATGTCGTAGTTGCGCGGGTACAGGCGCTGCATGCCAGAGGTCCTTCATTGACGAAGAATGCGCCTTCTGTGAAGGCTCCAACCGAGAGTGTAAAACCGACTATACCGTGGACACCGGTCCACCACCAGTCAGTGGCGGTTCTGCGGCTGCGGCTGCGAACACGCGAAGAGTTATGGACAACCTCTTCCAAGAACATTGCAAGGCGATTCTCGATATTGTCCACTCGAGGGTGAGGGACGCCACGAGTCTATTATACGTGCAAAATGAACTATCCTCACTTCGTCCGACCTTGGAGGGGTATGATGATGTTTTCCTTTGGAATGTTTGGATAGGGAGCATGAAAGAAGTAAGTGGATCCAATCGTCTTGTTCCTGAAAGATTCAGGCCTACAGGTTGCGTTTTCCATTAGGGGCAGCTGTTTACATGAATATCGCTTCCTTCCAGACATGGCTCCATTGCAACATGGAGATACGCGTCGCCAAAAACCCGCCGGCATGCCTGGAGACAAGCAGAGGGTGGGCTGTGCGCGAATGTGTCCAAGGACGCCTTAGTCGGATGAAGTTAATGGCTCGAGACACCCCCGATACCTTTTCAGTTAGATTTGGTGCATTCGGACTATTTCGAGACTCAATCGCACGCAACCTGTTTTGGTTGGACACGTACTGGTTGGCAGAAATTTGTCCACAGCAGCGTCTAGAAATCAGGAATACGGTACTTGATCCATTGCCCCAGAATTGAGTCTCTTTCTTCCTCCCTTACTAATCCTTTCTTCGCACTTCAGCTAGTGGATTTACTGTCCTTCTGTAACATCACGGCCGGATACATATGCTCGGCACAGTCTTATCTCGCGTTAGCCCACCGAGAGTTCCTGCGCGCCAATGGTTACATGGTCGCTCAAGAGTTTGTCGAGATCTAGAAGGCACTGGAACCTTTTTATGAGCAGAACGTATACATTGACATTGTCCTGCATCTGTGTCGGTTTGCCGGACCAGAGATACCATATCAACAACAACAACAGCAATTCAACATGAAGCACAAAGCGCTCGCGAGTCTCTGTCAGTTCTCGTGCCAGTTGATGAAGAACCAGCTAGAGCAAAGGAAGAAGCTGGAGATGTTTTGTGAGACCATGTTGGCTTCGAAGACGGGAGATTTTGGCGTGACGACGATGACGCGGGACGCGAAGGCGAAAGTGATCAATGAGAGGTGGGGTGAGTTGAAGAAGCGGTTGGATGTGTATCCTGTGAAGGTTCGTCGGTTTCCCTCTCCCTGGTGTTTCTTTGAGTTTCTGTTTGGTACAGCAATGTAGCTTTGTGTGCTAACAGACTGTCTTGGGTGTTTTAAGTGGATAAAAAGAAATGAGTGGATGCTGGTTACGATTGAGGCTTTGGGTATCATGGATTTGATTCCTCCTCTTTCTTGGACGGTTTCGGATTCAACAACGACTGCCCTTGTTCCGTTGGGTTCGGTCCCCCCTTCGGAAATGTTTCCAGGATCGATGCCTGGTCCGTCCTCATGATGTTTTGCGTGCGTTGCGAGTTACGGCCGATTGGGATGGCGATTGGGAGGGCGATTTGGGTCATGGTTGGGGATGGGAATCACATGGGTTGGAGTTTTGAATAGCGTTATGAGCTTGATTTGGGGAATAACGTCGTTGTGTAGGAGATAAGCTTGTAGCTTTGCATAAGAAGAAGAACAGCGTATGAATATTGAGATATGACGGTGCCCTTCATCTCTTCGTCCTAGCGATGGACTGCGGTACTTGATTTAAGCGATCAAGGGTGATAATGAGGAGGCACTCGTTGCATTCAGTATCTTCTGGAATGACGGAAAAGCAAAGTTTGCTCGCTGATGAAAGTTCTTTTCCTTGAATGATCAGTGAATTGTTGAAGACTAAGTTGACATTCAAACAAATTGAAAGATACCTCGTCCAGTGTAACAGGAGTGAGTGCCTACAGTAGGAACCGAGCTAACTAACAAAGCAGGATTGGAATGCACTTAGTTGGTGTTAGTGCAAGGAACTCGGCAGTCTAACAGGCTGTTAGTGCCCCCCTCGGTATTGAGTGTCATTTATGCTGTACTCTTAACAGCACAAAGCCAAAGGCTACCCTTAGTGTGCCCGTTAGATAAGATAAGAGCTTCGTTTTGGTCAACTACCCCGCGACCATCATGTTGTCTCTTTCCTTTACAAAGGAAGCATCTTCATCATCAACAGCGTTTGTCATGTCAATGCTGTTCCTTCTTTTGGATCTCGTCGTTTCGGTCCCCCCCAGCGACATTATGCGGCGTCCAAACACCGGGACCTGGATGACCCGAAGGGAGGAAGAAGCGACACCATCGAGTGGTGAAAGACGAGCTGTGCCTACCTGACTTAGACGGGAGGTACCTTGGGTTCCATGTCAAAAAGAGCTCGAAGCAAGCGTTGTGGACTCCGCGAGAAAGGTCGAGTGCCAGCGTGGAGTGGTGCCCAGTTTCCGTCTCCAGCTTGATGTCGAAGTTTGTCGAAGCTTATTTCCTTGCTTCTCACTGCATTAGACAGCCCCGAGACCCTTAACGACACGCATACATAATCTCTCTTCGTTTCCTAGGTTTATCTCCTTTTGCTCTTGTTTTCCTTTGGTCTTTTCTATACTGTCAGATTGGATCCCCTCCAGAGATCACAATACCATCCGCCGGTCAAAGAGCGCATCGACACTCGAACCTACCACACAATTACACCTCATAGCCCTGCTCGACGCTGAAGGGTCGAGCGCACGGCACTTTGCCCACTTTTCGTTTCGAAACATCGCTTTTGTTTTCCTCTCTTTCTAGATTGGCTGGAAACTCGAAACAAACCGCCACCGCACGTTCATAACTTCCTTCCATACTTGATTATCGAAGCCTTCTAGAAGCTTTCACTGGAGCGCCACTCTCAACAAGCATTGGGACCTGACAGTTCTCGTGGCGATCACAATTCTAGACTGTGTACAGGCTCGCGAGCCTTGATCAAGCCAAATAGGTTAGTGAACGGAGTGAACATTCCTGCGGTGGTGACTTGAAAATTGCGGGCCGGGGTAGTTCTGCACCGAGTTGGTTGAGACAAGACAAGACAAGGAAATACATTCCAACGTCATGCACGGTCCGGTGCATGTTTACATGAGGAACCGGGAAAAGCTTGATATACTTGTGACTTCGGTATTCTTGGAAGTTTGAAGCACATCCCCGGATACCGACAGGAACCGCCCATGGTGAAGGCAAAGGATTAAGTCAAACATGGAAAACATCTTGACTGACTCGAACCCCCGGAAGGGACACACCTACATAAACAACATCATGTCCTTCCTGCAGAGATTCCATGCCCCCCTTTTGCTCTTACATCCCTTGTTTCTCTTTTGATCTTATCACTCGTTGATGAACGATATCCAATATGGTTGGATTCATCAACACCGAGAGACGACGGCACAGCACGCCGGTAGCATGGCTCTTGTTGCTGTGGCTAACAACATTGCTACAGATTCAACAAGCAGCCTGCTTGGCGATATTGCCAGAGTCAACACGTGCTGGCACACGATATTACTATCCTTTTGCACCAAATTGGCGAGGATCGTTGAACCAAAAGGAGACGACTCCAGAAAGTTTGGGTGCAGACGCGGACGCAAGTACCAACGTCCAAGCGGCGACGACATCAGACGGCGCTGTCAATCTCACAGCCCGGAATCCCGACGAGCTGTACAAGACCTCACAAAGGACTATCAGCGAAAGCAGCTCCAAAATGTCTGTCACCACACCGACGGTGGCCCCATCGCCTTCCTATGCTTGCCCGTCGTGCAAGGGCACCGGGAGCAATTTGAAGCCTTCTCCCGTTTCCTCTGCTTCCTCATCACCGTTTCCCTCCAAGGGATACAGCCAACAATCACCGCCCATCAACAAAAGAAACTACAATAATTCCAATTCGAAACGTTCCGACGGCGACCTCTTCTCCACCCCCATCAGCCCCGACCTCTCCATCCCGCAATCCATCCCCTCGCAACCAAACCACCCCGCCCCCCGCAAGGGCATCAAGCAGTCTCAAGAGGGCGGCGGTACCGCAATCCCAACCAACAAATTCCACGCCAACTTCTTTCTCGGCTCGCAATCCTCTTCCGTCTGGACGCACCCATACTCGCTACAATGGGCCAAGGGGCAAGGAAGCTCCGGCGCTTGGGGTCTGGCTGTTTCCCATACCGATGCAAGCCAGCGCGTCTTTGGCGAGCAAGATCCTAATGGGAGCGGAGCGGCTCGGTGGTTTGGAAGTCCCGTGGGAAGAGCGGACGTGGTTCTTTCTGAACAAGGACTGGAAAAGGGGAATGCGACGGGCGGTGTAGAGCTCATGACGCAGGATGTCAAGGAGCAAAGCATCCGTGTGCAGCTGGTTGCGGGAGGAGATGTGAAGTTGGAGGCGCCTGTGGTACAGGGGATGGGAATGGTGACTGCGTTGTATAAGCAGGGCACGCCGGTGATCAAGTCGGGGATTGGGTGGAAGATGGTGACCAAGGCGATGGGCGTGGTGAAGGCGGGTGTGGTCAAGTATCGGCTGGTGATGGAGGATGGCGCCACTTGGTTGCTTTATGCGACGGGTGGGGATGTAAGTGCCATCAAGAGGGGGGAGCCGGGAGGGTTGGAGTTGGAGGTGCAGGGGAATAACGTGGCTGTTGCCAAGGGCAGTTTCACGGGTATGGTGCAGGTTGCAAAGTTGCCGGGTGGTGCCAATGGGACCGAGGGAGTAGCTGATGCTGAGAAGTTGTACGATGCTGCTTGCGGCACGTACGCTACTGGTGTTGAGCTCTCCGGGTCCGTGGATGGGCAAACGGGTCGGTATACCTTCAACTTCCAAAAGGAAGGACTTTCCACCAACTCTAGCCTCGTCATGTTCGCTTTGCCTCACCACCAGGCATCCTTCAGCTCCGACACGGCTTCCAAGGTGGTCCCCTCTGTCAAGCTCGACACCACCACCAAGGGTGTCGCCGTTGCTGTGGTTGGTGACCAATGGACCATGGAAGAAGACGTCAGTAAGCCTATGAGCATGGGGTTCGTCCCTTGGACGCCTGAGGCGGGCTCTATCAAGACCATTAGCGACTCAGCAAAGGAGTACATCAAGACTGTGGCTCAAAAGGAACTGCTGGGCACGTCGCAGGGCCAAGACATACTCAACCAGACGGACCAGCCGAGTATGTACTTTGGTGGCAAGGCGTTGGCCAAGTTTGCGGCGATTTTGGTGGCTGTCAATGATGTGCTGGGTGAGACGGACATGGCGAAGAAGGGGTTAGATCAGTTGAAGGTTGCATTTACAAGATATTCGGAGAACCAGCAGCAGTATCCGTTGGTTTATGATCGTGAGTTTTCCTTTTTCTTTCCATTCCCGCCACGCCCGATCTACAATAGTATACTGACAACAAACAGAATCCTGGGGCGGCATCGTCTCCTCGGCCTCCTACACCACCGGCGACGCGGGCGTCGACTTCGGCAACACCTACTACAACGACCACCACTTCCACTACGGCTACTTTATCTACACCGGCGCCGTGCTCGCCCACCTGGACCCCTCCTGGGCTTCTTCGGCATCCAACCTCGCTTACGTCAACTCCCTCGTCCGCGACGTCGCCAACCCTTCCTCCTCTCTCGACCCTCACTTCCCCTCCTTCCGCACCTTCGACTGGTACCACGGCCACTCATGGGCCCACGGCCTCTTTGAATCCAGCGACGGCAAAGACCAGGAATCCTCCTCGGAAGACTCCATGCACGTCTACGCCCTGCTCATGTGGGCCCAAGCCACCAACAACCAAGCGCTCTACCAGCGCTCTGCCCTGCAACTCTCTCTCCTCTCACGGTCGCTGAACTCTTATTACCTCTACTCCTCTTCCAACCCTTCCTCAAACATCCAACCAAAGGAGTTTGTGGGCAATAAAGTAGCCGGGATTTTGTTTGAGAACAAAATCGACCATGTCACCTTCTTTGGCAACAAGCAGGAGTATATCCAGGGTATCCACATGTTGCCCTTGATGCCGCATACCTTGTTTGTGCGCGACAGGGAGTTTGTCAAGGAAGAGTGGGAGGCCTTTTTTGCTGGCGGGGCGGCAAATAAGGCGGAAGGAGGGTGGAAGGGGGTTTTGTATGGGAATTATGCGACGATTGATCCCAGGGGGGCTTGGGAGGTGTTTACGGGTGGTGCTGCTGCTGGGGTGCCGACGGGCGGAAGTCAGCTTGTTGGTTCTCCTGGGAGTGGGAATGGGAATGGTACTACCGTTACGGGAACGGGAACGGGAGAGTCGATGACGAGTACCGCGAGTACCGCGAGTACGACGACGACGCCGGGGTCGATTACTCCTACGTCAACCTCTGTGCCTACTACTCCTGGTGCCATGTCATCGAAGATGGTGAGGAGGACGATCAGGAGGGCGTTGGAGAAGGGCAAGGGGAAGATGAATATGCCTGTTGCTCGTGCTGCCCTGCCAAAGGCGAAGAAGGATGGGTTCGGCCCCGAGAACATTGATGGTGGCGCGAGTTTGACTTGGTATCTGACTTGGTGTGCTGGTAAGTTATCACTTCTTTCCCCCTTGTGGTTGTTGTAACGGGATGATGCTAACTTTGGAAATAGCTCTTGGTGGACTATAAACCGCGAGCAGGCACAAATCCCCTCTGTTTGGCTATACTTTCCTTCTTGTTGTCTCTTTCATAAAGCTCTTTTTTTGCCTTTCATTTACATTGCAACGGAGTTTTGGAGTACACAACTTGGCTTTATGGTTAAGATGGAATGAAAGAGGATATCACTGACAAGATGGATGACCTGCAAAAGTCAATGAACGCATTGGTTCAAACAGTAGACTACATGATAGAGTCTGGAACTAGATTTAGACGGACCGGATTGTGGATTTGGAGTTGGAGTTGGATAGATACCCCGTATACTATGGCGCCCTGGAGCAAATGGAAGTTGGGTTTATTTGAGCATTTTTAGATGTTAGATAGTCTACTGCATCGGTATGGAGTTATCAGTTACAGGCTTTTTACAAGAATTAATCACACATCTACTATCGCTTGCCTTCTTTAGAACCCTCACTCCTATAGACGTAAATAACTAAATAATAAATCCGTTCGTCAAGTGTGATAACGAGTAAGTAAGCCCAAATTTTCACTTGTTCTTGTTCAAAAGGAGCTAAGAGTAAGGTATGTTATGTTGTGGGTGAGTGTCATCGTTGATACCTAGGTAAGGTAGGTAATCGAAGAGGGAATGTCAGAAGCTTCTGTAGGTATCTTGATGGAGGTCCGCGCTCTAGGCCGGCCGCCTTCACTAGGTACAGTAGTAGCCTTGCCCACCTATTTTATTCACTGGCACACCCACCCTTCCGGGTATATCTACTTGTATACAGTAAGGTAGGCTGCCTAGGTAGGTAGCTTCCGTTTTCCCCTCTTTCACACAAACCAACTACAAGAATCAACAACCCTTTTCTGTTATCGCCTTTCCTACCTACTATAGCCCTCCGATATATCTATCTCCTTGTCTACCTACCTACTTCCCCTTCTGGTTGCAATAGAAGCCCCTGCCGGCTGAATGCGCTATAATTGAAGTTATGGAGTAGTGCTAGGGGCTGCTGCAGAGATCGTAGGAATAATGCTATATCGAAATAGTTAGTTGCATTGCCCTGAACCCGCATTATACAAGCTTGGTACTAACAGCTAGTTAGTGCACGTGCATGTGCCGTAGCATCTCAGCCCCTAACCCCCACATAACACTAACAAACTAAACTAGCCCCCGGCCCTCCCACCCTCTCCTATACCAAAGCTATTAGTCCTACATTACAAGATATATTCCAACTGATCCCCTTGTCTCTCTAACGTAAATAAATATCATTATATAACACTAGCAATAGCAATACCTATCTACATACTATATACATCTAGAAACAACACAAGCTACATACATCTGGATTTGGATCTCTAGGTACATCCAACACTAGGTAATCTCCAATAATAGATGGCTAATACTTCAAGTTCAGACTCGATGATCCTGGGGTAAGGAAATAGCTAGTAGCTCCAAAGTGTGAATCAATTTGATCGAACTAAGAGTAGGGCAAAAAAGGGATAAAAAAAAAAAAGAAAGAAAAAGAAAAGCCAAAGGATGCGTTCCGAGCGTTGGTTCTCCAAAGAGCAAACCCAACACCGACGCCAACACACCTACCTCTATGCGGGTTAGTTGAGATAAATAATTAAACACCAGACCTTGTTTCGTAGAGACGGAGTACACCGATCTTCATTATTATAAACTTTCGTTGGAACGGACTGTCTATTACTTAGTATCAGGAGGGTACGACACTTATATACATCAATCATGTCATATTCTCGAGCAGATTGAAGCAGATGCCCTGCCACCAAATCTACCTTTACCTATGTACCGGGACTATTTAAAAGGATGCAGTATAGCAAGAGTACAACGTATAATAATCTTGATTGAATTGTATGTATGCAAACAGCTTTTCAAATCCCAAGCTGCTTCTGCTCTGCGCCAGCCCTCTTCTCTTCCATGTGAAAGGCCTAACAGTGACCGATTTCTAGCCGCTTTTCCATTTCAGTTTTCCAACAACACTTGGGTATCCTTCCTTCTCCCTTTTCCCAACAACTATGCTCGCTCTTGGGAGCTCCCTACCAGAGAACCTCCCAATGTGAAAAACGTATTCGTGACAAGGAAAATAATGTTCGTGTAAAAATACACAAAGAATTGGATGTAGTAGGTAGTAAAACAACCAAGAAGAAAAAAATGCCGTCAAGGTCTCCCATAGGGAACACCTGTAACTTTGCATTTAGAAAATGGTGGAAAGTTTCTGAAGAGCATCAGCCGGGCTCGCCCAGAACGCAAGGGCAATGATGACGTAAAGTCCCATAAGCTGTTTTACCACCTGTTAGCATTTCTTCCTTTTCCACATGCATCAAATCTAGAGGGAGAACAACTCACCATAGCACCCTCCAAATAATTACTCTTGCCATCCTGCACCGTATACGTAACCACCATGACCGACAAGGCAAAGGCAATCGTCTCAAACGTCTCAAAATGCAGCGACATGGGCTGTCCAATCGCCCAACCCAGCAACACCAAAGACGGGGTGACCAACAGCGCAATCTGAATGCTGCTGCCAATCGCCACGCCCATGGCCAAATCCATCTTATTCTTGACTGCCACCACACAAGCTGTCACATGCTCGGCCGCGTTGCCGACAATGGGAATCAAAATCAGACCGATGAACGTCTTGCTCATGGCGCCCGTGGCAGCAATGTCGTCGATCGAGTCGACCATGTAATCAGCCGCGTACGAAATAATGACCGTCGTGACAATCAGGACCAAGGCGGCAGACCAGGGCGACAAGACGGGGTCCTCCTTGGGCTCGGTAACCACATCGCCGACGGCTTGGGCCTCGGGCTCAAACAACTCCTTGTGGGTGCGCAGAACAAAGACGAGGTAGGCGCAGTAGAGGAGCAGGAGAATGACGGCGGTACCGCGCGAGAGCATCAAGATGCTGTCTTGCTTCTCTTGGCTGTCCGAGTGGTTGAGCATGGTGTACAGCGCCGCGGGGATGATCAGGGAGGCCGAGGCAAGCGTCATCATGGAGCACGTGGTTTGGGCGGTCCCGGAGGCAAAGGTCTGCTCGATGCCGACGCCGTTGGAGTCGCGCATGTTGAAGATGCCGCCGAGGAGGAAGCACATTCCCAGCACCAACAACAGGTTGGAGAGAATGGAGCCCAGCATCGAGGCTTGGACCACTTCGATTTCGCCGGCGCGGAGGGCAACGATACTGACCTGGAAGAGCGGAATGGTTAGTCCTATGAAGATAAAAAAAAAGGGCTGGTCAGAACTTGGGTGTGAAAAAAGGCATACAATTAGTTCCACAGCATTACCAAATGTCGCGTTAACCAGACCGCCGAGGGTTTCTCCCAGTCTATGGGCGATCTCCTCGGTTGCAAAGGAGAGGACCGCAGCCAGAGGGATGATGGCGAAGAAGTTGAGAGTGAACACTGCCGGCGCACTCCAGCCTCGCTCACCGGCGATGATGCCTAGGGGCACAAAGATAAGAAGGATGTTGATCCATGCTGAGGACATATATTAGCCGTGCGCTCTATGGAACGGGCGATTTTCATGGGATACATACAGCTCAGAAGAGTGACCTTGGTGACATTCCATACTCGGGTAGGGTACTTGACGAGGGGATTGGGATGGTTGGTGCCAGGGGTATTGGTGGTATCAAGGAAAAAGTCGCGCCATGAAAAGTCCGAGTGGGACTCGGTGGTCCAGCGGCCGCCGTTGCTGGTTCCGTTGCCGAGGAGCGGGCGGCGTTCCGAGTCCATGGTGGTGTATCCGTTGGTATGCCCGTTAATGTGACCGTTGAGGTGTCCGTTGGTGCTTGGGTTGGTACCGTTAATGTGGGTATAACCGTTTCCGTTGGAGATGCCGTTGGGATGGTCGCCTTGATGTTTGGGCGCAACGATACTGGACGCGCGACGAATTTGGGCGCGGAAGGGAAGCGTGACTGTGGATATGAGGTTTGTTAAAGGGTTGCCCATGGTTTTGCGACGAAGCGAATTATAAGACGAAAAGAGCGAGGATATGGTGGTGGTGTCCTGTCCGCCAACGGGATGTACTTGTTTGTTTGCAAGCAGTCCGCCGCACCAGCGCAATCTTGGAAAATGCGCGTTGGGGAAACGGATACAGGCGATATCACAATCCCGTCGTCGCGAACAGATGGAAAAACACGTGTAGATGGGTATGTAGTTTGGAGAAGGACGGGAATCCAACAGTTCGCCTTTTTCTCTCTCTTTTTCTTGAAACAATCAAGGGAGTGGGGTAGGGGAAGGGGGTAAAATATGGGGTATAGTATATTGAAGGAGAGGGATGGGATGGCATGTATATGGATTGTAACGATAAGGGTCTGTCAGTTAACTTACACCAGGACATGTTTACTGGATATATCAAGGGACTGTTGTTTCGCAATGGTAGGGTCCCCTGTTCAGATTGGGTAAGTAATTACCGATTGCCTATGCGCCGCAAGTACCAGTGTCTTTTGCCGGTATGTGCGGATGCCCAAAACTGAACCGTCGAATACTCACTCGATCCAGGCGTTGACAGGGCTTGGGGCAGCGGATGGGCAGACGGGTGGGGTGTTCTTGTGTAGGTATCGCCCCTCTGAAAGAGTATTTGCCCAGACAAGGCGTGTTCCTGGGCGTTCACCCTCACTTTTGGTTGCCGGATGGGTGAAGGGCGAGTTCAAAGGGCCAGCCAGGCAGTGTTGGATCGAGAAAGTGCTGCCAAGGGCAAGCCAAGGGGATAATCTGGGTTGGTTAGTCCAGTCTAGATGGTGGTTGTCGGGCAAAGCCACAATGAGGATGCGCGGAAAGGCAATGGTTGGCGGGAGGTGACGAGATGGATAAATGGTTCCAAAGGGTTGATGGGAGATCTGATGATGTTGGCAGTGTAGTGTCGGGTAGTAGGACAGAAAAAAGAATGAGGGGAGCTTCTTTGAGGAAAAGAATTGAAAACTCGGGGCAGAGATGCGGGTTTGTCATTGAATCCGGATCGTTCCTGCTTGGAGAGAGGTCTCCAACGTCACTGAATGATGGATGTTGAGATGGCATATCGATCCGTGCGCATCAAGGAACCCGGGCACTCATCCTACATCCTCTAGTTTTCAGCTCATCTCTGGCAACTGAAGCTCAACCACCGCCCAGGAGCTACACACACTAGGTCGGGTACTTAGCCCAAGTGTTTTCTTGTGTGTCCCTGATCAATCAATCTAGACCCAACGCGGGAACGGTTGGGTGATGCAAGCATATTGCCAAGAAGAAACAGTAACTTACACGATGGTATTGTAAATCCGGTGGCGCGGTGTGCCTAGGTACGTAAGGACTCGTGGTGTCAGATGTGGTTTTGGCGAGTTGTGTAGTCTCAGACTTTTTCACAATTCGGGAGCATGAGACACAGAGCACACTGGGGGATACAGATCTCGTTGGCAGCAAACATAAATACCATGAACCTCCTTGAACCTCTCTGACTCCCTGGCCTGCCCTACCCTTTGTCCGTGCCGTTCCGCTAGGCGCCGGCATTGCGTCGAATCCGTTTGATGTTTCCTTCCCGCGTACATATTCTCGGAAGACGAGGGAAACGGAAACAAGACTAGGTAATGTGTGTTGTGTTACAGTGTGGAATGTGGATATGTATCATGAACAAGTATATAAAGGACAGGATGGCCCTTCCCAAAAACTTGTCGCGAGCGATTGACTTCCCGATCGACCGGACAATGATGGTAGCGATGACGAGATGATGCAGGGGAACATGTTCATCTCCAGGAGATGGATGATGTTTGGGGGAGTGATGAGTGTGGTGAGGTCCCGAAGACGCCGACACACACCAATTTGGGTATTTGTTGCTCGCTGAAAAGGGTAAAGCTCCATCTGGATCCATGACATTATCGCTTGAGAGAGTGGGACTATACGTCACCGGCAGGCCAGTCAAGTGTCGCCAAAGATTGACTGGTAACGAACAAGCTTTTTAGTTCCAGAAAGTTTCTTTGCACAGCCCCTTTGCCAAGAGCCCCCCTTGTTGACGAGCTGATGGGCGACGACCTGCCTTTATTGACTTCCCTCAACTCAACGGACTCCCGAGACCGACGGACCACAGGAAGAGGGGCAGTATGTCGAGGTAGCTGGGACTGGAACTGGAACTGATATCGGGACACGAGAGAGCGAGTCAAGGACCATGTCGTGGATAACCACCTTGTCGCACCACCGAAACCAGAAACGCGGACAAGAGTCATGACAGTGCAGTCGGTGCGCCAGAGAAAAGGGTCACAAGACATGCATGGTCTAGTCTATTTGACGCTCCATGTCTCAACATCTGGTATATGTACTTAGGTAGGTACTGATGCGGGGAAGAAATGGCAAGGCAGCACAGCACAACACAACACCACCTCCAATTCACCCTCCGAAACAGAATATTCTGAATGGTACTCCAGAAATGCCTCGGAGTGCTTCAGTGATACAAACCACCCACCAGTCGCGGATGGATGCCGACTACGATACTATACTACAAGTCTATAACAACAGGTCGAGTGCATTTCTGGGCGGCATAAAGTGGGGAAACTTTGAGGCCTCCGCCCATATTCAGCCAATAATGAGACCCAGGTACAAATGCCGTTTGTGTGCCTCTATGTGTGCATCCCCATTTCTTATTAACGGCGTGCTAGCTACCGGTTGGGCACTGAACTTCCATTGGCACGCGGAGAAACGAAAAGACGAAGTGTGTGTGGTTAACAATCATCGCCAGACAAATCGTCTCCCCCGCATTACCTCCGAGTGACCGGGGCTGGACTACCGGATTTGTGGGTCACCCGTCCCGATACTCGGAATCAGTCACCCGGAAGTTTGGATGAGGACAGGAAGTTGCACCGTGGTGGGATTGGTATCTCGATGAAAATCGAATTGTGGTATTACAACAACTGGTCGGGGATAGCAACAGACTAACAATTTGACAAACCCCCAAACTCCATCGCTATGCATTCTTCCTTTATGTACTTCTGCCTTTGAAATAGTTCGTCAATCCAATCCCAATCCAATCCCAATCCAAACCACAAGCACAAAAGGGTATCACAAACAAAAAACACAAACACACAAAATCACTCAAACCCAAACCTCCTCCCCTTATCCAGTTCATCCTCAACCTCCCTCGCCCCCTTCTTCGACAACAACCCATGTCTACCATTCAAATGATCCCAAAAGTCTCCTCGCGTATCAAATCCTTTATCCCCTTCTCCTTTCCCTTCTCCTTCTCCTTCCTCTCCCTCCTGTCCTTCCTTCCTTCCCTCTCTGCTTTCCCTTTCCCTATTCCCATCCCCATCTTTCCCCCTCCCCCCACCACTTACATCCCCATATCCCTTTCCCTTCTCCTTCCCTTGTCCCTTCCCCTTATGAGTCTCAGAAGGATTCCTCTCACACCCCTCCACCCAACAAAAGTACCTCGCCCCCAACGCAAACGTCTCCCACCTCGTCGTCGCGCTCCTCGCCCGCCGTTTACGCACCAGTACCTCTGCATACTTCTTGAGCAACCGTCGTTGTTCGCCGTTATTGGCAGATAACCAACGTTCCGTGGCTTGTTCGATTTCGTCGAGGTGGTGGTTATTGGTGGTCCGATGACGACGACGGAAAGGTGCATGTAAAGAGGAAAAAGAAAAAGGAAAAGGGGAGAGGGAGAGTGGAGAGACTTGGAAGCGGTGATAGTGCGTGTAAAGATGGCCTTTGGAATTGCGGAGTTCTTCCAAGGCGGGGGCCGAGGGGGAGGGGGAGGTGGTTGATGCCGATGGGGACGAAGTAGGGGAGGGAGAGTTGGAACTGGTGGTGGAGGGGGACATGGAGGAGGAATACTCGGACGGGGAAGATCGGGAAGAGAAAGGTTGAACGAGCTTTTCGTAAAACCAAGCGTTGTGTTCGTCTGTTCCCAAGCTCAAAAGTAAATCGATGGGCGGGTTGGAGGTGTCTGGGACAGAAGAAGGAGTGGAAGGGTCGACGCCTAACAGGGAAGAAATCTCTTTGAGGACTGGTAGCGTTGGGTCGCGGATTTCCTTGCTGCCGTCGACGAATTGGCCGATGGCGGGGAGCTTGAATGGCTTGAATTGTGAAGAGTCCGAAGGGGTGGTGATGGCCTTGGCAACCTCAGGGATCGAAGGGACTTTACCTTCTTCGTCGGAACCGTCGGCCACGAGGACTTCTTCGTACGTGCAGAACGCATAAGGTTGTCGTTCTGTGGGAGTGGCCGCGTCGATCTCGCTGCACCAGGCCAGGGTCTGGCATTGAAAGGATGTTTTCTTGAAAGAAATCGACGAGGTCGGACTGCTGGTTGTCGTGCTCGAGCAACTGGAGGCGACGGTGTTGTTCGTATTCGCCCGTTGAGTCGTTGGTGAGATATCCTCACTGTCGCTAACGATTGCTCGCGAGGCAGCGGTATTGTTCCCGCTTCCAGTCAAGTCCGTACTAGTCACACTGAACTTGGCAAACGTGTCAAACCACGCTCTACTCTTCTTGGTCGGCCACGTCGTCCTCCTCTTATCCTTCTCCCTATCCGCACCACCATGAAACCCCGGCAGCGGAATCTCAAAAGTGCCGCTCAAACCGGGGAAACTAATCACCCTCCTTCTTCTTCCTTCCGCCCTGCTGCTGCTTTCCTCCCTCTTTTGACTTTGACTCCCTCCATCGCCCACATCAACCTGCTTCTTCTCCTCCTCCTCCTCCGCTGCAGCATCCTCCTCCATCTCCAAAAACAACACCGGCAGCCCCCTCCCATCCCTTCTACTCCTTCCCTCTCCTCCATTCCTAAACTCCTCCAAACACCCTTCCACCGTCCGTCCCATCACCCCCAACATAATCGCAATCAATCCCCCCACTGACGTCCCAGCAATATAATCAAAGTAATGACTAGGGAGGTACTCCCCCTTTCTCATCGTCTCCGGGGGTACATCCACCTTTAACTCACCCACTTTCACTTTCCCTTTTCCCCTCATGTGCATGTCTCGCAACTTCCCCGCCCTCTTCTCGCAGTCCAGCATCTCCATTTCCGTCTCGACACCACTACAAAAGTGACGATCCTCTTCGTCGTCAGATTTAGTAAAGTAGTAATTCTCGTTGCCCGTCGGGTCAGCGGAGCAAAAGGCCGGTGGACTAAGAGATTGCTCGAGAGCAGCGATTTCTTGCATCAAGGTACGCAGGAGGATCAAAGAGGAGTACCCTTTTATACCGCCGCCGTCGAGCGTGAGGATGTTGCGGGTTGCCCAGGGCGTGGTGGTGACGTGCAGCTGCAGTCGGGAGGAGAGGGAGGAGTGTAGGGTTTGGGCGATTTTGAGGGTGGAGGCGGTGTGGGCAATGGGGTTTGCGGTTGTGGCGAGGGTGGGAGATGGGTTTGTGAAGTTGTGGTTGGGTTGGTTGTCATGACTTGGTTCTGGAGTTTTCGGGACGGAGGATGTGATGGTTTCTGCTTTGAGTTGAGTTTCTTCTGGTTGGGGTTCGGGCTCGGCGATGGACACGCGGTTGGATATTCGTCGGACGTTGGGCGGGCGGTTGATGGAGCGGAGAGCGGAGTGGCTTGTTTTGAGAGCGGGAGGACGGGGACGTTCTCGTGATGGTGAGTCTGAGGAGGAGGAGGGTTGTTGCTGGCGGCGTGGATTGAGGACTTCTGTCATGTTGACTGTTTTGGGTCACCGAGGTGACCACTGTTGGTTTAAACGACACGCGCGGTTTTGTCTGGCGGTTGTTTGCGCATTCGCCAGTGATAACTCCAAGAAGTTGATGATGATGGCTTCAAGTGCTCACCGAGCAAAAGAAGTCGCAATGGACTCTGTGGCTGATTGATTGCCAAACTTGGAATGAAGAAGGAAAGTTAACGACCAGAACTCCAGCCTTCTAATATTCTCCTCTTACTGGTCACATTGTCGCCCGTCCCATCATTCATCAACCCGTTTGAGGCGTCAAGGTGTTACTCACTGATTGAGTGGCTCATAGGACCCCCCGATTGGGCGGATTTCGTGTATCTTGGTCCGGCCCCCTAATTCCACTTCTCGTGCAACCATTGGCCTCCCGTTCGCTGACCATACCAGGCGATAAAGCCCCCCCTGCATCGTTCACCATCACCAGCCGCTTTTCAGTGGTCATAGGTGGCTGAAGCTGTCACCAGTCCAAGAAACAGATGACGAGCCTCGCTGAGAATTGCCCCTGAACGGGAATACCTCTAGTTACAGTTGCCGTTCCAGAAGGGAGTGGCGAGTCGTGTGCCAGGCCGTCGGGATTGCGCGAAACATCTGACAAAACACCTTACAATGAAGACCGTGGCAATCGATATCTTTCCTTCTAGGTATTCCTGTCGAGCCTGTATCGCCATCAAGAATGATTCCATGTAAGGAACTGTTTTGCATACAACGCCAGGCGATCGAGGCTGTGAGTTACCTAATCGACCTCTACCGCCAGAAAGCCATGGAGTTGAAGCTCTACCACTGTGATATCTCCGATAGCACTTGCTTGGGGAACCATTTGACTGCCATGGTGCTTCATCTGCCACAAAGGGTAGAAATATACCTAGATACCCGTGTGACCTCAAGACACTACAAGCGAGACTGCCACCGCGACCAGGAGGCCGCTCTTGCGGCACGCCTGGTGTTCTGAACATCTTCGGATTGCTCGTTTCTTTGGTGGTATTTGAAAAATATTGGAACCCAAACTACCTAATAATCAACAATCACGTCGACACTGACATTCTGGCCGTTTACGTTGACAGGCAGGCATCTCGGTTGCTTGCTGTTTCCGTCTGGAACTTGCTGTTTGCAAGTTTTCGATTGCATGAATTTCACTGGAAAGAGTGATGGATGCGCGGCTGTGCTGCTGTGATGCTGCGATGAGGCAGTTGTGAACTAACTTCGGTTCTGTAAGTCAACTCAGCTGCCATCTCTTCTCGCGATGATGTGATCGAGTCTCGAATCTCACGATCTGACAGAGATGAGCCTCATCCGTGTAAAAAAACGTAATGGAATGGGTAAGGCTAGTTTCCGATGGCTATGCTGAGAACTGGTGTAGCACCCGTTACCGAGAAATGTGAAGCTATCATGGAGCTGACGTGCATCTGACAATTGCCTGTCCCTGATGTCCACGAGGAGGAGGGGTCCGCGTGAGGCCTGGAGATCAACCGCCCAAGCTCACAATGATTGGTCGTTCGGGTAGCGTCATGCTTGGGCTGAGAGTGTAACGCCAAACAGAGGGGTAACCTGAGTCCCCCGTCCGGCAGGACGATGGAAGGGACCTTCAGCCCTAGGCAATGTGCTAGGTAGGCACTGATGTTTGCCTGTGTGCGTGAAAACTTCACTTTTCCATCTGACAACAATTCCGTGAAAGAAGCTCTTCTGGATAGAGTTGCTTTGCTTCACCGTGGTGAATATCACGACCGGGTCTTGGCGCTGACACTCATCGAGCTCAACAGCCCTTCACAATGGACCCCCTATCAGCCTTTGAACTCGCCCAAGTAGTCCTGGACAACACCGTCCGGCGTGTGTCACCCTTCCCTTCCCTTTATTCACTCCACCCGTAGGTACTAATATCACGACAGTCTTCAAATTCGTTTCGGCCCTCGTCGAATACCCCGAAGAGTGCGAGAAATACCGATTGCAGCTCATCATCGAATATAATCGAGTTCTCGCCTGGGCCAAAGCCGCCGGACTCATTGAAATCACTCCCAGCTCTTCACTAGCCTCCACCTTGGGGACCAATGCCACCGAGCTGATCACCATTCTGGCTCGGATCCAGTGGCTTTTAGCCGAGTTTAGGGATTTGAACGCCAGGTATGGAAATGAGCTTGTTCCATCCGATATCTCTCCTGCAAAAGATAAAGAGAAGGAGAAAGATGGTAAAGAGAGTAAGGACGTCAAGGGCTCCGGTAAGGACGTCAAAGGCAACAGTACGGACAGCAGAGGTAAAGATCCCAAAGCTGTCGGTGGGGCCTCCTCGTCCAAAGAAAAATCAACCTCTTCAGAGCCAAAGCCAGCAACAGACGAAGCCCTCCTCTCCCAAATCTCCTCTCTGGCCTTATCCTACGACCAATCCCAGAAGGAGCAGAAACTCAAGGTCGAAAAGGAAAAGGAGGCCGAACACCGACGCGGAACCAACCACATCCGCCGCTTCTTTCGCACATCCAAGGATGTAGTTACCCACCCCTCGCGCGTGCGGTGGGTCATGGTCGACAAGGAAGCCTTTGAGGCTTTGCTCTTGGACTTGCACTCTTTGACGGAGAGGCTGGACGAGCTGATGCGGGGGTATCAGCAGTCCAAGATGGACGACATCATTGGCAAGACTTACCGAGAGATGATCCTGGCGAGAGACGGGATTGGGGAATTGAAGGATATGGTGGATGTGCTGGGAAAGATGGTGGAAGGGATGGAGGTGGCGGCTGATGGAGAAGGAGGGAGAGAAGGGAGGAAGAAGAAGATGGTGAATGATGTGCAGGATTTGATCAGGCTGAAGAAGATGGCGAGAGTATCGGAGGAGTTGCTTTCCAGGCTTCATCAAGGACAAGATCCGACGGCGGCGTCGAGACTCGAGGCGAGCGATACCAAGATCACTATTGCCCAGTTTGGCGACCCACGCAAGGGCCAGAAAGATTTTCTGGAGGTCTTTATTATATGCGATGGCGATCGAGATTCCGACGGAGAATTGCACTTTGGTAACCTCGCTCGTGTTAAACGACCACAGGGTTACCTAACCGTGAGAGAAGGCATGGCTGAAGTCCCGGTCTGGATTGAGTGGAAGCCCATGGGGGACTACGCAGAAGGCTCGATCGAAGAGAAAGCGGCCGATCTGCGCACGCTGACCCTCGCGGAGATGCTGCATCTTCCCAAGCCCGATTCCCTTCACGTCCCAAAATGTATCGGCTACTTGGATGCGCGGGATGCATGCGGAGCGGACATGTATGGTTTCATCTTCAAGGCGGAGAAGGAAAGACTCTTTTGGGGTCATAGAATTGTCTCCCTCTACGATTTGTTGGGCACAGAGATGGAGATGTTCAAGCCGAGTCTGTCGCAACGGTTTGACTTGGCCTTGAAGCTTTGCACCACCGTCCTGAACCTGCACACTGTCAACTGGCTGCACAAGGGTATCTTTAGTGGCAACGTCCTCTTCTACTTTGACTGCGATAACGGGCCTGAAATGAAGCAGGCTTATGATCCCGAGAAACCTTACCTCTGTGGGTTTGGGTATTCCCGACCCGAGAAGAGCAAGACTACCGCACGCAGTCTCAACATGGCGTGGGATCTCTACCGCTGGCCGGCCATCCAGCGCGAGCATCCGACCGATCACAATTCTCGCAAGACGTATGATTTGTACAGTCTTGGGCTGGTGTTGCTTGAGATTGGGCACTGGAAGCCGCTTGATGAGATTCTGTGCCTAAAGGAGTCGGAACCTTCCCCTTCGTTTGATCAAACGGTAACGGTGATGCCTTTGTTTGTTCAAACGGTGGTGCCTGAGAGGAAGCCGCCGTCGGTAAGCCTTTCTGACTCCAAGAAGGCAAGGGACTGGCTGCTTGGTACGCTGGGTGATGCCCCCTTCATTAAGGCCAAGAAAGTCAACCCCCTGGGGGAGCTTCGGAACCTCATGGGAGATAAGTATACCAGGGCCGTGGAAAGGTGTCTGTGGGCTCACGGCGAGAAGGGATTCGGAGTGGAGGACCTTCCGGATCAATCGACGGATTCGGGGGTTGGGATCCGATTGCAGGAGGCGTTTACCAAGTATGTGATTGAGGAGCTTCAGGGCGTGAATGTTTGATGATGAATATGTCCCAAGGTAGAAGAGTTCATGATGTTACGATCCACTGTTGATGATGATGGTGTTGGTTTTGGACAAATGGATGAAAGAAAATGTTCAAGTTGAAGATGATGCCCTCAAATGCCAAGATTACAGAACCCCAATGAGCACTGTGAGTCCCCACATTTACAGTAACCCTGTTCCGTCCCGCAGCGCCGAGCCGTAACTGTCCCCGCCCATTACGGCATCGGCCGGCCGAAGTCCGAATTTCACTCAATATCGGTGCCCGTGAAATTTCAACCTCATCTCACCTCTGGTCTCACAGCGTTTGGTGTCACAACTCTGACCCGGCCCACCACATATCACATCACCTCGGGTCTCACAACGTCCGGGACCGATCTCAAGTCTCACAACTCCGTTGTTCCGGTGCGGCAGTCAGTGAGCACTGCAGTCCACCACGATGACCGGCAACATCACCGCCGCCCTCGAGCGCCACGCCACCGCCGTCACCCGCCTCTCCTCCCAAATCTCCTCCTACTACGCCGCCCGCCTGCCCTACCGCATCTTCCACGGCTCCACCAACTCGACCCGTCCACCCACGCAAAAAGGCACCAACACCAAATTCGTCGACATTTCCTCCCTGAACAATGTCCTCTCCGTCGACCGCGCCACCAAGACAGCCCTCGTCGAACCCAACGTGCCCATGGACAAGCTCGTCGAAGCCACGCTGCCTCACGGCCTAGTCCCGCCCATCGTCATGGAATTTCCCGGTATCACTGCCGGTGGTGGATTCGCCGGAACAGCAGGGGAGTCTAGTTCGTTTCGCCATGGGTTTTTTGACGATACCGTGCGGGAAGTGGAGATGGTTCTTGGTAATGGGGAGGTGGTCAAAGTGAAGAATCCGGATCTCGAGGCAGCGGCTGGGAAAACCGGAGAAGTGGAAAAAGGGGATCTCTTCCGCGGAGCAGCCGGTGCCGTAGGAACTCTCGGCACCACAACACTCCTAGAAGTCCAACTAATGGACGCCAAGAAATTCGTCAAGACCGAATACAAGCGCGCCAACAGCGTAGCGGAAGCGATCCGCATGGTGCGCGAAGAAACCCAAAATGCCGAGAACGACTACGTGGACGGGATTTTGTTCAGCAAAGACCACGGCGTCATCGTAACAGGCAAACTCGTCAACGAGTTACCTCCTCCCCCTTCTTCTTCTTCCTCCGAAAAGCCAATCAAACCCCAAACCTTCAGTGGACCATGGGACCCCTGGTTCTACCTGCACTGCCAGTCCCAAACCCTTTCTCCCTCAACCACCACCACCACAAATTCCCCGGTGGCGACCGACTACGTCCCCCTCGCCGAATACCTCTTCCGCTACGACCGGGGTGGATTCTGGGTCGGCGCCGCAGCCTTTCAATACTTCAGCTGGGTTCCCTTCACCCGGCTCACGCGGTGGTTCCTCGACGACTTTCTGCACACACGCATGATGTACCGCGCTTTGCACGGGTCCGGCGAGTCCGCCCGTTTCGTCGTGCAAGACATCGCCATGCCGTTTGAGACCTCCGAGGAATTCATCAACTACACCTCCTCCTCTCTAAACATCTGGCCACTATGGCTCTGCCCCTTGAAGCGCCGCGCGCCCCCGACTTTTCATCCGCATACTACCCGTCCTGGCACTCACCCGTCTGACGAAAAGGCGCAAGATAAAATGATGCTCAACATTGGCGTCTGGGGCTGGGGTCCCGATCAACCACACGAGTTTGTCGCCAAGAACATTGAATTGGAGAACAAGGTAAAGGAGTTGGGTGGGATGAAGTGGTTTTATGCGCATACGTATTATCAACAAGAGAAATTCTGGAAGATGTATGGTGGACGGACGTGGTATGATGAGCTGAGAAAAAAGTATCATGCCGAGCACTTGCCGACGGTGTGGGACAAGATCCATGTGGATGCGGATAAGGCGGGCAAGAAGCAGCGGCATTGGTTGTTGGCCAAGAAGCCGATTGGGGGGTTTTATGGCATTTGGAAGAGTATTCAGAGCAAGGATTACTTTTTGCATAGGAAGGCTCAGTGGAAGTGGAAGGGGGAGTGAAGTAAAGTTTTCTCAGGATAGATGTAGAGGTGGATAGAGGTAGAGGTGGTGCAAAAGTAGAATACCCCTTTTAAGAATTGTACAAGAGTTTGTCAACGATGACCTGCTTATGGCAATGTTTCACGACAGATTTGTCCTATACCCCAGAAGAAAACCATTGTTACACATTCTCCATCAAACCCTGTGCTGAACTACCCACGACCGCTGGTAAACATGTTGACTATCGAACTGGTAATGAGTCAAGAAGGTTTGAAGGTTCGGTAACACAAACTGGAGACGTTCGCAAGATTATAAGCCCAGAGACTCAAATATGGAGTGTCGCCTCCTCAGCTCACATACCGAAGGAAACAGCATATCATGTTCATAAACGCCCACCATCGCATACAACCGCAATTCCTATATCCCCTATCCACTATGGTAACTCATACATCTCCAACACCCCATATCCTATGCTTTCTCTCTTTACCCCCCCTCCCCCGAGGTCGTCCCCCTCTAACCCATAACCCCCTTTTCCCCTATTCCCGTCGCCCCTTTCTTCCCCCTTGGCCCACCATTCCTCTCTCCCCTCCCAAAATCAACAAAATAACGCCCACCCAATGTTAGTAAAAGTGATATGATGATGGAATCCTCGCTTTCCCATGTGTCGTGCCGAAAGATAGATACATGAATGATGATGATGATGCTTTTGGTGTGTCTTGGACAAGAAGAAAAAGTGAAAAAGAAAAACGCCTCTTCCACCTCTCTCTTCTCTTTCTCTGTTTCTCTTTCCTCATTCCGCATTTCCCGCTTCCCACCTTTTTCTATAACCCTATGCATCCCAGTTATTCCTCGCTTTTCCCTCCTCTTGAAAACAGGTCCCTCTACTCATAAGACATTATCAGGTAGCCCCCTCTCCTATCTCTCTCTCTGGAATCTCCCCTTTGTGTGGTATATACCTTTGGCGGTGACGGTGTTGTTGATGTGTTCGAGGTGAGTCGACCAGGTGAGAGGTATTGTTGCCCACGGACTTGGCTTGTTGTCGTCTGATCCGTCCGGGTAGCGGTGTGATTGTTGTGACCAACTTCGGCGTGCCCACGGAACAACGGGTGCCATCCAATTGTCCCTGCCGCCCATACGAATGTGTCTGATGGGTGCCACTAACGTTGATCGGCCACTGGATTGACTTGCCCTCCCTCGCTGATGTTATCCGAGCCAGTCCGAGTGAAGGGTCCAGCGGGTAGCATCGACCCGTCCGCCTCGTATGTGCCTGTCCGTGATCATGCCACCGATCACGTTTGAACTCCAAAGTATATATCGACCGCGCCACCAGTCCTTCGCATCCTCAACCAAGGGTCTTCGACCACGCCACTGGCCACCCTTCCCTCCGTTCCCCTCCTCCTGGGTATAAGATATGTGAACCGTGGACTTCGTGACCCCGCCGTTTCGTCCCAAATGATGAATACAACACTGCGGCAGCCTCCAAAAACCTCCAAAAGAAAACTATGAAGCACTGTATAGGCGTTATGCACACAGAAAAAAAGAGTTAAGGAAGCTACGTAAAATTTGGGGGTATCTTTCGTCATCAATGATTCTCTTGCCCTCCTCCGCTGACACCTTCATCGTCTCTCGGCTCCTTGTTCCTCCACTATGCTGACTGTCGTTGGTCCTCTTGGGGTTTCGGTCTTTGCGTCTAATATCATCGAGTGCTGGTGGTGTACTCTTGACATGTTGAGGTGTAGCCATAGGACCCTTCTCGTCGTCGGATAGCTTGTGCGGTCCTAGGTATGGCTATGCGCTGCTATTAGGGGTTAAGTTCTGAACCACTCGATCATCTACGACCGGTGGCCCCCACCCCTGAATATTTCCATCTCTACTTGTAGTAGCGATCAATCCACTTCTCACCCTATAACCAAATGGAAGAAAAATCTCGAGTTAGCAGTTTGTTCCTTTGCCATGAGTTGCTGCAAAGCCGAGCATCCAAAGTGGCAAAATGGCCAAATCGCAAAGGGTGGTTTAAATTCCAAGACCGCTGGTGCTGGGTTCGACTACATTATCGGAGAGGTTGATGAGGAGCTGCGCCAGGCAACGCTTGGTGGCGGCATCGTCGCGCAGAACCGAAGAGAAGGTGGCGTCGCGAAGGGGCTCTGGCAGACACTGGCGGAGTGCCTCGCGGGCACGAGCATTGTCGCTAAGTCTGTTTGGATGATAAGTCAGTACAGAGACCTACCAAAAATCGAGTAACAGGGCGAGAACATACCTCAAGAAGCACCTAACAACATGTTTGAGAAGCCTAGCCGTCTGCTGCTCTACCAGCTGAGCAACCATGTTGCTGAGGACGGTGCCGACAGCGTAGAAGCGCTCATAAGTGGCACAGATGTAGTTAAGACCGTTGTCATCAAGCAAGATCTTCTGCACGATGAAGATAGCAACCGTCTTGCTGAGCTCGGACCCGGTCTCCATGATCCTCAGGCAGAGGGGGATAATCTCGGTCGTAAGCAGAAAGTTGATGACCTCGGTGGAATCGTTCTTGACAAGCGCACCAATGACTCCCAGCGAAGTGAGCCGGAGGTATTCAAAAGGACGCGACTTAGACGTCGTGTTAAGAAAGGGGTAAAGGAAGAGGGGAATGTGTGCTGAGGAAAAAAAAAAAAAAGGTTAGCAGGCTAGTCGGTCCTGGCTTGTAACAAAGGGGCACCTACCATTGAGGAAGAGGGTACGTGTCTCGTTGTGAGACGCCACACACTGAAGGAGGGCGAGGGCATTGCAGACCCTGTTGGAGGCGGCAGCGGTGAGCTGAGAGGGGTTGAGGAGGGTATAGACACTGATAATCTCCTGGAGGAGAGATGTCATGACTCCTAGACATGGGGGTTAGCGCATGATCGATCGGCGGGGGGAAGGAGGGGGAGGGGCTCCGAGGTATAGGTCGGTTGTACTTACCGAACGAGTGCCAGAGGATCAGGGCCAGTTCGGGAACTTGCTCCCGCTTCTTGCTCAGCTCCAGGAGCGCGGCCTCCCTGGTATTTTCATTCAGCAAGTCGGCAATGTACTGCAGGGTGCGGCGGTTGTCGTCCGAGACCACGGGCTCAATGGCATTATCCTGCGCGTGGGTGGCGGCGGCAAGGGCGTTCACATTGTTGTGTGCGCCGGCCAGGCGGTTGTAGTGCTGCTGCTGGGCAACATTGGCGGCGGCGGCAGCAGCCTGGGCGTGCTGATGGTGCGAGGTCTGCTGGTGAAGCCAGGCAGAGTCGGCCTGGGGGTACTGGTGGTGGCCGTAGACATGGGGATTCTGCATCATCTTGGGCTATGTGTTGGAACGAAGAAATGGTAGCGACGGCGCGAGGTGGTGGGTCAAAGACGTCGGAGCTGTGTGGGTAATAATCGATGGAGGACTCGGGGTGGCGCTATTGTTGTTGTTGGTGGTGGTGGTGGTGGTTATTATCTTTCGCCAGGAACTTGACGATGGAGCAACGGCAGGCCGGGCGGCATGAGAGGGGTGTCGTGGGGCGCAGGAAGGGTCCTTCTCGATTGCGAATATCAGACAGAGCAGCGGTCAACAACGGCGTCGTCGGGCGGGCCGTGTAGAGTAGTAAGGTAGACAAGTGGGCGAGGCGGCGTCGAGGCGGGTAGCGAGGAGGTTGTGCTTTGAGCAAGCGGGCTGTTGAACAAAGGCGGCGGCGGCGGCGGCGGATTAAAGTGCAGATTGCAGAACACCTAGTCACAGGCCCGGCAGGCAAGGCTTGACGATGGCGGCGGGTCTTGGAAGTACAGTACGTATGTATTGGTATGAAAGCGAAATATGGAAAAAAAATGAGTGAGTGTTGGTGTTGTGGGTGGAGAGGCAGAGTTAGAGTTGGAGTCGGTGACGGTGACGGAGGTGGATATGTAGAGTGAGTGAGTGGGTGGGTGGTGGTCGTATGTATTGTGGTGTTGTCGGCGGCCAAGAAGGGAATCAAGCAGATGAAAGAAGAACGAAGAGCTGCCCGGTGGATGGCTGCTGGAGTCGACTCGTCTCCTGCTCCTGCCGGCGTTCAAGGGTCACACCCACTCACCCACAGCGGCCAGAGAGCGAGCGGTCCAGAGCCGCACCCGACGGGGACAGTTTGCGCACAGACCATCAAGCTCAACATGTGGGGAAGCTTCGGTCCAGTGTTGGATTCCGAATTCACAGTTAACCCTGGAACACGGCAGTGGTCACATATAACCCTGCGATGGTCAGGGGATAATACGCCCTGATTGGATGACAGAGGCCGTCTGCATTTCGAGATCAAATCTGCTGTCTTTGGTGAATCAAAATTCGGGTGATCAACGCTTTCGGATTCCCAGTTGGATGAAATCGATGGAAGGGGGGAGCAGCAGAACCTGCCATAATTCCAAGTTCCGTCCGGAAGAGCAATCAAAATACCGTGACCGTCTCTTCATCCCTTCTCAGATTGCTATCAGCCTGACACTACAAGAAAGCATGTACTGGCGTTTCCTCCCCCATCTTTGAGGTGATGTCTATCATTAATGTGAGACCAAGTTGAAGAGATTGACTGCTTGTAGTGGAATACGCAGTGATATCAACATAACATCCAACATCAGGCTATCCCTTTCCTCTGCGCAATGATATCTTATTCCCCTCCAGACCACCAAGCCTAGCCTAGGTATTTTTTAACAAAAAAAGCCACACACACACATATAAACACCAGAAAATGCAACCCCCCCTTTCCCGTCTCGTCTCATCTACCAGACGCCAGTCCTCTACTTCCTAACCCTAAAAGTCTTCAACACATTCTTCCTCCCCCCAGGCCCCTTCTTATACTTCCCATGCCCACCTTTTCCACCCTTGACCCCCTTTTTGCCTCTCGTCTTCTTATCGTCGCCCTGCTTCTTAAACGGCACGAACCCAATCTGGCTTTCCGTGAGAGCGTTCTTTCCGTCCTGGGGCAGCAAGTAATCAGGCACGTGCTTGAGATGGGCTTGCTGGCGCATCTTGGTGCCGAGCTCGCCATCGTGGCGCAGGTGCGACAGCTCGTGCGGGTTCTCTTCAAAGTAGCGCTTCAAAGTCTCGGAGCGCAGGAGTTCTTGTCGCAGTTCGCGGGTGCGGGCTTCGCGGATGGCGACCTTTGTTACGGCGCGGAGGGCTATTTTTGCATATATACGGTCAGTGAACTTGCGGGGAAAGAAGTAGGGATAATGACATGGAGAAGGAAGGGGTACTGACCATCGTTCATACGGTAACGGAAAGCCTCCATCTGGTCCTTGTTAAAGTTGTACGGCTCCAACTTGCGGTTGAGCTTGGCTTGCTGGCGCATCACCTTGGCCAGAACCTTCTCGTCCTTCTCGCACTGCTTGATGCTGGTGGGCTTGTGCTTGCCATAGAGGTCGTGAGGGACGACCATCGATAGAGCAATACCGGCGCGGCCGGCACGGGCGGTGCGGCCTATCCGGTGAATGTAGGAAGAGGAAGAAGTGGGCATGTCAAAGTTGATGACGGCGGCAACGTTTTTGAAGTCGATGCCTAGAAAAGTTGGTTAGTATCCAGAACCATGTAGGACCAAAAAGCAGACAGACTTACCTCGCGAAACACCATATTCCTGATCCCTCCTGCCCTTCTTCTTCTTTCCCTTGCCGCTCTTCTTCTCCTCGCCCTCCTTCTTTTCACCTTGCTCCCCCTTCTTCTCCTCAGTTTTCTCGTCTTCCAAGAAAACCTCGCTCCTCTCATCTGACGCAATGATAATGTCATAAATACCCCTGTTAAACTCCTCGATAATCTTGATCCGTGTATTGATCGGCAACTCCGAGTTCAGCACACAGCTGCGAATGCTAAACTGCTCGAAAAACAACTTCAAGCGGTACGCACGATCGATGTCCGCCACAAACACCAGACAGGGGCCCTTGATCAGCTGCAGCTTGAAGATCAGGTAGCTGATAAGCCACTTGTCGTCCTCGCCGCACTTGACGTAGAACTGGGTGAGCTTCTCGTCCTCGTTGCTGAACTCCTCCTTCAGGTCCAGCATGGTGGGGTTGCGGCAGAAAAAGCCCTTGAGCGTGTCGAGCTCGTCGGAGACGAGAGTGGCGCTCATCATGGTGGTCTGCACACCGCCCTTGGGCAGCGAGCGGGCAATGTTCTCCATGTCTTCGTCGTAGCCGTAGGACAGGACGAGGTCGGCCTCGTCGAGCACGAGGTACTGCAGCTTGGCGACGCTGAGAGCGCCGGACTCGATGTTGTGCCAGGCGCGGGCGGGGGTGGAGACGATCACGTCGGGGGCGTTGGCGAGGAGGGAGCGGAGGACGGCGTCGGACACGTTGTCGGTTAACTTGGCGGATTGGATGTCCTTGGTGCAGAAGGCGGAGAAGGCATCAATGGCTTTGTGGACTTGGTCGGCGAGTTCGCGCGTGGGGACGAGGATAAGGGCGGAGGTGAAGGGGGTTGGGTCGGTCTGTTTGGTTTCCTTTTCGTTAGCATCCGACCCTCTCACAACTTATTCTCCCGGGTGTCAAGGTAACTCACAGCCTTCCTCTTAAGAATGCCGCTCAACACAGGCAACACATATGCCGCCGTCTTGCCCGATCCCGTCTTCGCCTTGCACAGCACGTCCTGGCCCGCCAGCGCAAGCGGGATCGCCTTCCTTTGCACGAGCGTCGGCTTCTCAAAGCTCTGTTTCGCAACAGCCTGCACAAGGCGAGGGTCGAGACCCAGGTCGGAGAAGGTCAAGTCGGCATCGTCCTTTTCACCCTGCTTCTTCTCGTCCTTTTCGTCTTGTTGTTTTTGCTCGTCCTTTAGTTGTTGCTCGAGCTCTTGCTCCTCCTCGGTTTGTTGCTGCTCTTGTTGTTGGGTCGCTTCGGGCTTCTCCTCCTGTGTCTTGACGTTCTGCGACTTGGACTTCTTCTCCTTCTTTTCCTTCTTCTCGGTTGAAGACTTCTTGGTCTTCTTCTGGGTCTGAGGCTCGGTCACGACTGACGGTTCGTCCGTCTCGTTCAACTTGCGCTTGGCCATTGTGTCGGGGTATCTAGGTTGTGAAGTTTGGTATTAATTTGCTCTTGCGCGACAGTAGTTAAAAGTAAATAACACGGTCGAGGTTGGTGATCAGTCGACTAAAGTTGGTCGTGATATGGTTCTATAGAGACAAAGATGGAAGATGAAGAATGTTTTTGGAAGTGGAGGAGGAGGGGCTGCACTTCGAAGCTACGAAACGGATGGATGCCAATTCCTCGAATCGACCAAAAAAGTTTGGGAAAAATTTCGACGGGGACTCGCCCAGGCGTCGCACCCACTGATTGGGCGGCGCTACCAGTCCACTTCACAGTGGGCATAGGCGCTAGCGCACCGGCAGCTCGTTGCCCCACAAAAGCTTAATCCAACAACTTGAACCTCCACAGCGACCAGGGGGATCGATCATCTGGGCTGCCACCTTCAACGCAGGTCCACGATCTTACACTAGGTAGTCAGCCTTCAGTCATGAGCCCTACGAGGCTGTTGAGGCTCAAGATGGGACCGAGAATCATACCTTACAATCACGACTGGACAAAATCAAACTCGCTACTAGACTAACTTTGATCGAAATCCTACTACCGGAAACAAATACATCTTGACATAAGCCATAATCCTTAAAGCCATTCTTCGTTTTCTTTTCGCTCGAGCCACATAACCAGAGGCAAGTAACATGCGCTGAGAATCAAGCTATTCATCCAACACGAAACGAAATTGACCACACCAATCTACACTTGCGCGAACCTTCCATACCAGGCTGTCATCACACAAAACCTCAGACGCCAACATTTTACCAAACCATAAGAACATAAAAGTCTGATGACAAGGAAATACTTCAGCATTCATCTCTCATGACCTTTGTCCATCTGTTACATGAGCCTCTCCATCAATCATCGTCCAACTCTTGGAGCACCACACGGCAGTGTTCCGCATTGTTGCTATTCGGCCTCAGACTGTCCCCGAGCCAAGAATCTCAATCACTCATTTCAGACAAGTTCAGCTCAGCGTCCGGAGTCCTTAAAGACCGATTGGGCCGACTTCGCGATCTCCATAACCAATCCTTGAAGCCGTATTCTCGAGCCGCCGGCTGAATCTAGTAACGACGACCATAGTCACGCGGCGGGTATGGCTCGCGAGGGTACGGGTCACGCGGAGGGAAGTCCACGGGAGGAGCACGGCGATCGTAAGCATCTCCGCGTCCGCTCATGTACGGGTCGGGAGGGTAATCGCGGGGAGCACGGTACGGGTCATCGTAACGTCCGCGGGGAGGCGGGTAGTCATCGATCGGGCGCCTGGGTGGCGAGCGGTAACCACCTCTCCTGTCGTCGTAGTACTCGCGCCTTGGTGGGGGCGACCTGTCACGGTAACCATCACGGTAGCCGTCGCGGCGGGGGCTGTATCCGCGAGGAGGGGGTCCACGGCGGTCGTAATCGTCCATGGGAGGGGGGTATGGGCGGCCACGCGGCGACCTCGAGCGAGCGCGGTGGTCGTTTCTTGGGATGTCGGGTTGAGTCTAATTTCAAAGGTCAGCAACCATACTCATCGAGGTGTGAGGATATTCCTTACGTTAGCGACGCAGGTCACGCGCTGGCCCTTAAATTCGCGGTTGTCGAGCTTCTCAACAGCAGTCCTCAGATCGGCGGCGTTTTCGAACTCAACGAAGCTGTAATTTCGGTCAGCGGAAGTGTAGAAAGGTTCTGACCGTGGCCACATACCCTTCACCGTTCTGGTTGCGAGTCGTCTCGCTATAAACGACATCAAGTCCGGACTGACGAGCAAAGTCCTTGAGGTCCTAAAAAGGCAAGTCGAGTAAGTTGAGGTCCGGGATTTGGCAGTTGGCGGTCCTCCCATGCATCACCACCAGTAAAATGTGTCCAGGAAGCTGATTGTGTATGGCAGGTTGTCATCCGGCTCTGGGGTGTCCTCTGCCATAGTCCCGCCCGTAACAAGAAACTCCAATGGGAAGACTGAGAAGGATGTAGTGAAGGAAGCCGGAAAGAGCCAGTTGGGTGTACAAAAGAGAGCCAAGTGCGTTCAGCTGGAACGGCCGGACCCCCCACCAGTCGGTAATAGGAAAAATAACGAAGTCCGAATGGCCAAACTTGGGTGTGACGGTGACAGGAGATATGCCATGCTGGTGGGGGCGAGAACAGAGTAGGGTGTGGAATCCATGGGTAGCCCGGAAAAAGAGAGAAATCCATATGATGATCAAGCGGCGCACAAGGAAGTGGAAGGGTGACAGACCTGCCAGCTGGTTTCATTGGGAAGGCCAGAGATTTGCATCCGGTGAGGCGTGCGTCGGGGCCTGGGTTGGCTGTTACGCTCGTGGGTGAAACCGGGACCTCCCTCACGGTGACGGGCGCCACGGGCGAACTGAACGGTAAGACGCTCTCCCATGAAGTCCGATCCATCTTGTTATTGTCAGTCGGTCGATATCGCAAGTTACGGGGGGGTTAGAAGTGGGAAACGTACGGAAAGCTAAAGAGAGAATGATTGTTAGCACATATTCTTTTTATGATTGCTATGATGCACATAAGAAAAGAGCAACTTACCAGGAACAACATCGCGGGCGTCCATGGCATCCTTGTACTCGATGAAACCAAAGCCGTTCATGAGCTTGATTTCGGTAATCTCGCCGGTTCCGTGAGTCGCAAAGTGGGCTTCCACATCGGCCTTGGTTGCTTTGCGGGAGTCAGCATTGTGTATCGTCGGATGGGAGCCGACCAGACCAGGCGCCAGAGCAGGGACAACTGGACAGAAGAGGTAGCCTCGCAGCGACAAGGCGGCGATTGATGTTTGATCATGGGAGACGGCCGCTGGTCGACGGTGGCTGTGGTGGTGGTGGTGGTGATGATGATGACGTTGATGTTGCAGATCCGGAAAACTCACCGTGCCGGGGCAGGTTGCCCAAGTAGAGACGGGTCGACGATACTTCAGTCATTGTGTCGGGTCGCTGGTTGTGGGACCTATATAGGATGAAGGCTGACACGACGGACGAGATCGGGAGCCTGGTGAGGTGAGGAGGGGGTTGGTCGGGGTAATAAGCGCGACGACGTGCTGTGTCCTGCCGAAGCCTCGTTTAAGAAAAGAAAAAGTTGCGTCAACTTGTTCGGAGCCTTGTTCGCGGGCCGACCAGTCAAAGTGCAAGCCAGGCACGAGAGAGACCAATCTGGGCGGAGAGGCGGGAAGCGTAGAAGAGGGCGTCAGCCAAGTTCGGGTTGTGGTGGGTGTTTGTATCACTCGACGATTCAATCAGAGACAAGACGTAAAATCACGCGACGAATCGGCGGGTAAAGTCGTCGTCGCGGTGTTGTGTTGGATGGTTGGCCGTCCAAGTTGGCAATGATGGTTGGTAACAGTTGAGAAGAGGATGATGAATGTTTGGAGGAGAAGCTGTGACGGGCATGCGACACGGTGGGTGTTGGTGGGTGGGAAGAAAAGTGGAGGAGCGATTGAAAAAGGACTGGACCTAGGAAGGGAACGCGGCGGAAGTGGAAGGATGGGGTGACCTGTGAGTGGGAGGATTGCTGGAGGGAGGGGGGCCCGCGGGCTGGCTGAGAGAAGTGGAATGGAGTGTGGACGGGCCCTGTCCTGCTGCTGCAGCAACTGAAGGAACTGCCGTGAATCTGGGACAAGGAAGGACTGAAAAAGAGAAACGAGAAAAATGGGATTCGCACGCACGGCATCACGCAGGAAACGAAGAAAACATTTCGTTCCGTCTCCCGTCACAACCAAGCGCCGACCGGTCTCCTGCTGCTGCTGCAGCACACGATGGTGCCCCCAGTCAAAGCCCGATGCCTGCCCTGTTGCGCTACACTACGGTACCTAACAATCCCGTCAGCAACGCGACGACGACGACGATACATACCTCCACTAACCTCGGAACTGCCGCTATAGCGCCCGCCTACCTACCTACACTAGCTAAGGTTACAGCCAAAACCAGGCACTCAACCCACTGAAAACCAAAGCATGGACCCGGCGGGCAGGCATGGACGAGTGGGGTAAGCAGAGCAAACGCGGGAAGAGGTGGACCGCCAAGCCTCCTGGCTATCCAATTGCAAACCACCGTCGCCCTGAATGAGCGGATGTGTCACAAGCATCCTGGTCCTTGTGAGAGGGGAAGGGCAAGGCATGATGCACATGGACCGACGCGTTGCACAGGCACCCCTCCTTGTTGATTTGATGCCGCTGCTGTGCTGGTCGCCGCCGCCGGTTTGTTTTGTTTTCCGTCATCTTGGCTTGGCTTGTCGGAGCCATGTTTGATATTGGCGTGACATTGTCCACGGTCGTGATGGTGGTACCTAGTTATGGTGGTGTTGAGCGGTCGAAGGTATTCCCGGACATGTCAAGGGAGGTATTTATTTAGGAAAAAAAAGGTATGTAAACAAAAGGGAGCTTTGGCCGCTTCTGATGTCAATCCTATGGAGCTTTTCCGAGCTTTTTGCAAATCCCGACAGGGCTGGTTATGGTTCACGTCATTGGGTCGGCTGGGATAGTGACGCTTTTTGTCGAGTTTTGTTCTTCCACTTTTTGGATTCAGATCCAAAGTTTAATTGAGATGATCGACTATCGATCAGAACGCGTAGTGGGTATGGACATATGTATGTAGTACAGTTGAGTGCGAGACATCGAGGGTCATTCTATACTAGATCTTTACAAGTCATGTCTCGTAGTGTAAATAACAGACACAAACTTAGTGTATATTCCTCAACTTATCCAATCTGCCCACTCCGTTACATCAGTCATCACGTCATGATCCTCCACATCCATCCCTATAACCACCACCACCAGCCAACAACCATCACCACTACTTATTTCCTACTTCCTCTCCCCACCAGCCTGCACAACCAAAACACTCGCATTAACCGCCCCCGTACCTCTAACCAACAATCCCTCCGCCACAACACCCACCGTCTTTCCCAGATCCAACCCCCCTCCATTCGCAGTCCCACCACCTACATCCACCCGACTACTGTTACTACCACCAGCACCACCAACAGCCCCCTCAACACCATCAACAACAACCCCATGCCTCCGTCCCACAACCACCACATCACCCGCCCCGCCGCCCTTCTTTTTCTGCTGTTGTTGTCCCACCGTGACGTTCGCTAATCCCAACACCGTTTCCATCAAGTCATTCTTACCCTCTGTCAAGTTCGATTCCTCAAAGACCACGCGCGAGGCGATTCCCACGGGGAGTGAGTCGCGGAACGTCGCTAGCATTGTTGCGTCCTCGTTATATTCCCCCATAGAGTTGGAGGTGGAGGCGGTAGAGGTATACCTGAGATGAACAACAGTAGCAGTTACGTTGTCGTTGTTGCCAAGTAATTGGAGGACCAAGTTTAGAGCCACACGATCATCTGCGCCGCCGATGAAAGGGAGGAAGACGTGGTGTGTGCGGGTTGTGATAGTGGTTGGGTAGGTTGTTGGTTGGTCTTGCTCTTGGGGTGTATGGTGATGTGGAGAGTCTAGACCCTGGGCCCGAGTACCAAACCCACCGAACCCATTATCGATAAAAATCCCCGCGTTGCAGACCTTTTCTACCCTAGCGAGAGTTTTATAGATAAACTCAAGATGAGCACTACCCTTGAACCGATCATTGCCTGCATTGGCACCAGCTAGTACCGAACGCGAAAGCGGTTGACCCAAATCCGTCAAACTCCCATACTCGCTCCAAGGAATCAGCACAAACTCCGATTGCGTATCTGCCGCGTACGAAGTGAGCGTCTCAGCATACGAAGACTCGGGAACGACGGCTACGCGCCCGGAAACAGCCACGTTGTTGGACATGCTCGGCGACAGAGAGGCAAAAGTGCGAAAGGTGTTGATCACGGGGTCGCGCACCGAATAAAGCTCCTCCTCTTCGCCGGCTATGCCTTCGGTTACTTGCATGACGGAGGAGGTGCGGTCTGTGAGCTCGATGAGGCGGAGGCCGTGGACTTCGAGGGGTTTTTGCTTGCGGGTGGGAGGAGAAGGGTTGGTGCCTTTGTCGGTCGACTCAACCCCGGAAGGCTTGGAAGTGGTTTGTTCGGGCTGGGGGCTGAGGAGGGTGATGAAGGCAAAGAGAGATGGTAAGCTGTCGAGACGGAGGTAGACGAGCATGCGCTGGATCGAGGATTGGTCGCCGACGGGTTTGGAGGGGACGGAGATGTTGGAGCCCGATTCGTTGGGGACAAGAGGGTTTTCGTCCCAGTCGATTTCACCGCGGCGCCATCTTTCAACTTTGCGCTGGTACCAGGGGGGATACAAGGCTTTGGTGAGAGGGGTGGTGGCGACGGTGGTGACGAGGGCCATGACGACGAAGATGGTGAATGTTCTTTGAGAGAGGATCTTGGCTTGGAGACCGATGTTCAAGACGATAAGCTCGACAAGACCCTTGCAGCTCATCAGACTCCCAATGGTGAAAGACTCGCGCCAGAGGAGCTTGTTAGCACGAGCGGCGAGAGTTCCGCCGATGATCTTGCCGGCGAAGGCGCACGTAATGACTCCAATCACGTAGCCCCATGTAATCCCATCGTTAAGGAGACCAAGGTTGGTGCTTAGACCAGAGAGGGCGAAGTAGAGAGGAAGGAAGAGGACGGAGATGAGGTCTTCAATCTTTTCCGTCATCTTGATGGCAAAGCCGCCCTCATGGGGGCAAATCAATCCGACGAGGAATGCGCCAAAGATGGCGTGGATGCCGATGATGTCTTCACTAGTCAGCATTTGTAAGTAAAGATATCGAACAGGTACGACTTACTCGTGAAAAACGCAGAAAAGAGAACGAGAAGCAACGTCAACGCGACCACCCCCTGCGTCGGTCCATTCTGCAAGCTCCCCGTCCTCCTCACCCACCACATAAACGGCGGTCTCACGGCGAACACCAAGAACAGAATCCACCCAATACAGCACAGTAGCGCCCATAGCGCCGCCAGCCCGCTGTTGTTATTCACCAACGCCACGCAAAGCGCCAGCAAAATCCAGCCGGTAACATCATTCCCAATCCCCGCCGCCAACACCGTCACGCCCACGTTGCTTCTCAACAGCTTGAGCTCGGTCAGAATACGACACAACACAGGGAACGCAGTGATGGCGAGTGCAGTGCCAATGAAGAGACCGTAAACGCCAAAGCTGATAGGCACGGTGGTCCCGTCATTATGGAACTGGTGGTATAAACCCCAGGCTATGCCGAAACCTAACCCGAAAGGGAGGATCATGCCGGCGAGACCGACGGAGAGGGCGACTTTCCAGTTGGAGGTGAACATGCGCATGTCGACTTCGAGGGCGACGAGGAAGAGGAAGATGATGAGGCCGAGGTTGGCGACATTGTTGAAGACGGGCATGGATTCTTTGGGGAAAATGGCTACCAAATTGTGTGTGTTAGTGAAAGAGGGTGGGTGAGTATGGGAGGGTATAAGTGAGTTGGGTACCAGCTTCAAAACCGGGTATCCTCATCATGACGGAGGGACCGAGTAGAATGCCGCCAATGACTTCGGCAATGACTTTGGGTTGATTGATCCATCGCAGTGGATAGGCGAGTAGTTGGCAAAAGATGATGACGATGCCGGCTTGGATGATGAACAAGGTGATGGGTGCCGAGGCGCTGTATTTTGCTGGGTTGGCGCCTTCCAGAACACCGGCCTGGCCGTTGACACTTGGAGTTGTCGCATTTGGAGAGGTATTCGATGAAGTCGCAGCGACGGCTCGGATGACGGTCTTGAGAACTGCGTCTGTTATGACTGAGGCCATCGTGTCGATGGTTGGCGGTGTGGATGTGGTCTGCTTGTTGAGCCAACTGATGAAAGGCTGGATGGCTTAAGACCAAAGCAACCGAAACGTGCGTCAATGCAGTGTTTGAATAACCACTTAAGTGTTATTAAAGGTATATATAACAGCATCAAAGTGGCCTCAGGGGACCAGGCATTGAAGAAGGTTGAGGTCCGAGACAGAAGCTGTCACTCGACAACACAAAAGAAAAGATATATAAAACAGACCTAGATCCGAGACACTGGGGATCTATTGGTACGTCCGCCTCTTTTAGATAGAGGTTGCATGCCTGGCTGTACAAAGTAAGCACCAGCTAAAGCAATGGGCCTCCACGTGATGGTATCCAAGCCAAGAAGAGGGGATCATGTTCGTTTCGGGGACATGAAGCCCAAAGGGTCCAATTGCAGTTGTCAGTCAAAAGGATCATGGGGGGAACACCATCAAGGAGGTTCGTGTTGCTGGGCCAAGAGATTTGCATTTGTTCAGTTCTCGTCCACCTTTTCCTCTCTCGCTTTCACATGGACACCAACACCACAAGAGAGGGAGGTGATAGCTGAATGGGACCACCCTGCTGTCTCGCGCAACTTACTGGGCATGCTAAGAACTGAGCTACCCGATAGTGTGTTATACAAATCTTGGGATTCCAATTCGGATCCATACAAGGTCGATGGCGCAAAACCGAGGGTGTTGACGTCTTGACGATGAAGAGGGCCTGTGGCGGTCTAGACTCGGGACCATGATCTGGGGTAGTCTCCAGTTCTCGGTCCAGTTGGCCATTGGATCGCGTTTACAAGCCATCCAAGCCATGGATGCTCCGCTGACTGACCACAGCTGACTTGCCTTGATCTCACATCTTGGCTTGTGGGGAATTCCTGTTGCGATATAAGATATTGATGGAAGTGATGAGGAGAAAAAGATGAAAGAAAAGAGGAGAAAAAGCCAAGATGACAAGACTTGGGGAAGGTCCACATCCATGTTCCCTTCGATCTCGGGCAGTTCCACTTTTGCATGATCGAGGGGATCCACTGTAAGTGGGGCATTTAGTCACTAGAGCACTCCACTATCTACGG